GAGAGAGAGAGAGGACCCTAGCCTCTGCTCTCTTCCCTCTGCCCTCTTCCCACTGCCTCCCTAGCCTATATAAGAGGCCCTTTGGGGTCTCTCTTCCTCATTATTTGTGTGGTGGCTGCAATTTTTCGCTCGCGAGAGAGAGAGAGAGAGAAAGAGAGAGAGGACCCTAGCCTCTGCTCTCTTCCCTCTGCCCTCTTCCCACTGCCTCCCTAGCCTATATAAGAGGCCCTTTGGGGTCTCTCTTCCTCATTATTTGTGTGGTGGCTGCAATTTTTCGCTCGCGCGAGAGAGAGCGAGAGAGAGAGAGAGGACCCTAGCCTCTGCTCTCTTCCCTCTGCCCTCTTCTCACTGCCTCCCTAGCCTATATAAGAGGCCCTTTGGGGTCTCTCTTCCTCATTATTTGTGTGGTGGCTGCAATTTTTCGCTCGCACGAGAGAGAGCGAGAGAGAGAGAGAGGACCCTAGCCTCTGCTCTCTTCCCTCTGCCCTCTTCCCACTGCCTCCCTAGCCTATATAAGAGGCCCTTTGGGGTCTCTCTTCCTCATTATTTGTGTGGTGGCTGCAATTTTTCGCTCGCGCGAGAGAGAGAGAGAGAAAGAGAGAGAGGACCCTAGCCTCTGCTCTCTTCCCTCTGCCCTCTTCCCACTGCCTCCCTAGCCTAAATAAGAGGCCCTTCGGGGTCTCTCTTCCTCATTATTTGTGTGGTGGCTGCAATTTTCCGCTCGCGCGAGAGAGAGCGAGAGAGAGAGAGAGGACCCTAGCCTCTGCTCTCTTCCCTCTGCCCTCTTCCCACTGCCTCCCTAGCCTATATAAGAGGCCCTTCGGGGTCTCTCTTCCTCATTATTTGTGTGGTGGCTGCAATTTTTCGCTCGCACGAGAGAGAGCGAGAGAGAGAGAGAGGACCCTAGCCTCTGCTCTCTTCCCTCTGCCCTCTTCCCACTGCCTCCCTAGCCTATATAAGAGGCCCTTTGGGGTCTCTTATCCTCATTATTTATGTGGTGGCTGCAATTTTTCGCTCGCGCGAGAGAGAGCGAGAGAGAGAGAGAGGACCCTAGCCTCTGCTCTCTTCCCTCTGCCCTCTTCCCACTGCCTCCCTAGCCTATATAAGAGGCCCTTTGGGGTCTCTCTTCCTCATTATTTGTGTGGTGGCTGCAATTTTTCGCTCGCGAGAGAGAGAGAGAGAGAAAGAGAGAGAGGACCCTAGCCTCTGCTCTCTTCCCTCTGCCCTCTTCCCACTGCCTCCCTAGCCTATATAAGAGGCCCTTTGGGGTCTCTCTTCCTCATTATTTGTGTGGTGGCTGCAATTTTTCGCTCGCGCGAGAGAGAGCGAGAGAGAGAGAGAGGACCCTAGCCTCTGCTCTCTTCCCTCTGCCCTCTTCCCACTGCCTCCCTAGCCTATATAAGAGGCCCTTTGGGGTCTCTCTTCCTCATTATTTGTGTGGTGGCTGCAATTTTTCGCTCGCACGAGAGAGAGCGAGAGAGAGAGAGAGGACCCTAGCCTCTGCTCTCTTCCCTCTGCCCTCTTCCCACTGCCTCCCTAGCCTATATAAGAGGCCCTTTGGGGTCTCTCTTCCTCATTATTTGTGTGGTGGCTGCAATTTTTCGCTCGCACGAGAGAGAGCGAGAGAGAGAGAGAGGACCCTAGCCTCTGCTCTCTTCCCTCTGCCCTCTTCCCACTGCCTCCCTAGCCTATATAAGAGGCCCTTTGGGGTCTCTCTTCCTCATTATTTGTGTGGTGGCTGCAATTTTTCGCTCGCGCGAGAGAGAGAGAGAGAAAGAGAGAGAGGACCCTAGCCTCTGCTCTCTTCCCTCTGCCCTCTTCCCACTGCCTCCCTAGCCTATATAAGAGGCCCTTCGGGGTCTCTCTTCCTCATTATTTGTGTGGTGGCTGCAATTTTCCGCTCGCGCGAGAGAGAGCGAGAGAGAGAGAGAGGACCCTAGCCTCTGCTCTCTTCCCTCTGCCCTCTTCCCACTGCCTCCCTAGCCTATATAAGAGGCCCTTTGGGGTCTCTCTTCCTCATTATTTGTGTGGTGGCTGCAATTTTTCGCTCGCACGAGAGAGAGCGAGAGAGAGAGAGAGGACCCTAGCCTCTGCTCTCTTCCCTCTGCCCTCTTCCCACTGCCTCCCTAGCCTATATAAGAGGCCCTTTGGGGTCTCTTATCCTCATTATTTGTGTGGTGGCTGCAATTTTTCGCTCGCGCGAGAGAGAGCGAGAGAGAGAGAGAGGACCCTAGCCTCTGCTCTCTTCCCTCTGCCCTCTTCCCACTGCCTCCCTAGCCTATATAAGAGGCCCTTTGGGGTCTCTCTTCCTCATTATTTGTGTGGTGGCTGCAATTTTTCGCTCGCGAGAGAGAGAGAGAGAGAAAGAGAGAGAGGACCCTAGCCTCTGCTCTCTTCCCTCTGCCCTCTTCCCACTGCCTCCCTAGCCTATATAAGAGGCCCTTTGGGGTCTCTCTTCCTCATTATTTGTGTGGTGGCTGCAATTTTTCGCTCGCGCGAGAGAGAGCGAGAGAGAGAGAGAGGACCCTAGCCTCTGCTCTCTTCCCTCTGCCCTCTTCCCACTGCCTCCCTAGCCTATATAAGAGGCCCTTTGGGGTCTCTCTTCCTCATTATTTGTGTGGTGGCTGCAATTTTTCGCTCGCACGAGAGAGAGCGAGAGAGAGAGAGAGGACCCTAGCCTCTGCTCTCTTCCCTCTGCCCTCTTCCCACTGCCTCCCTAGCCTATATAAGAGGCCCTTTGGGGTCTCTCTTCCTCATTATTTGTGTGGTGGCTGCAATTTTTCGCTCGCACGAGAGAGAGCGAGAGAGAGAGAGAGGACCCTAGCCTCTGCTCTCTTCCCTCTGCCCTCTTCCCACTGCCTCCCTAGCCTATATAAGAGGCCCTTTGGGGTCTCTCTTCCTCATTATTTGTGTGGTGGCTGCAATTTTTCGCTCGCGCGAGAGAGAGAGAAAGAGAGAGAGGACCCTAGCCTCTGCTCTCTTCCCTCTGCCCTCTTCCCACTGCCTCCCTAGCCTATATAAGAGGCCCTTCGGGGTCTCTCTTCCTCATTATTTGTGTGGTGGCTGCAATTTTCCGCTCGCGCGAGAGAGAGCGAGAGAGAGAGAGAGGACCCTAGCCTCTGCTCTCTTCCCTCTGCCCTCTTCCCACTGCCTCCCTAGCCTATGTAAGAGGCCCTTTGGGGTCTCTCTTCCTCATTATTTGTGTGGTGGCTGCAATTTTTCGCTCGCACGAGAGAGAGCGAGAGAGAGAGAGAGGACCCTAGCCTCTGCTCTCTTCCCTCTGCCCTCTTCCCACTGCCTCCCTAGCCTATATAAGAGGCCCTTTGGGGTCTCTTATCCTCATTATTTGTGTGGTGGCTGCAATTTTCCGCTCGCGCGAGAGAGAGCGAGAGAGAGAGAGAGGACCCTAGCCTCTGCTCTCTTCCCTCTGCCCTCTTCCCACTGCCTCCCTAGCCTATATAAGAGGCCCTTTGGGGTCTCTCTTCCTCATTATTTGTGTGGTGGCTGCAATTTTTCGCTCGCGAGAGAGAGAGAGAGAGAAAGAGAGAGAGGACCCTAGCCTCTGCTCTCTTCCCTCTGCCCTCTTCCCACTGCGTAAGAGGCCCTTTGGGGTCTCTCTTCCTCATTATTTGTGTGGTGGCTGCATTTTTTCGCTCGCGCGAGAGAGAGCGAGAGAGAGAGAGAGGACCCTAGCCTCTGCTCTCTTCCCTCTGCCCTCTTCCCACTGCCTCCCTAGCCTATATAAGAGGCCCTTTGGGGTCTCTCTTCCTCATTATTTGTGTGGTGGCTGCAATTTTTCGCTCGCACGAGAGAGAGCGAGAGAGAGAGAGAGGACCCTAGCCTCTGCTCTCTTCCCTCTGCCCTCTTCCCACTGCCTCCCTAGCCTATATAAGAGGCCCTTTGGGGTCTCTCTTCCTCATTATTTGTGTGGTGGCTGCAATTTTTCGCTCGCGCGAGAGAGAGAGAGAGAAAGAGAGAGAGGACCCTAGCCTCTGCTCTCTTCCCTCTGCCCTCTTCCCACTGCCTCCCTAGCCTATATAAGAGGCCCTTCGGGGTCTCTCTTCCTCATTATTTGTGTGGTGGCTGCAATTTTCCGCTCGCGCGAGAGAGAGCGAGAGAGAGAGAGAGGACCCTAGCCTCTGCTCTCTTCCCTCTGCCCTCTTCCCACTGCCTCCCTAGCCTATATAAGAGGCCCTTTGGGGTCTCTTATCCTCATTATTTGTGTGGTGGCTGCAATTTTCCGCTCGCGCGAGAGAGAGCGAGAGAGAGAGAGAGGACCCTAGCCTCTGCTCTCTTCCCTCTGCCCTCTTCCCACTGCCTCCCTAGCCTATATAAGAGGCCCTTTGGGGTCTCTCTTCCTCATTATTTGTGTGGTGGCTGCAATTTTTCGCTCGCGAGAGAGAGAGAGAGAGAAAGAGAGAGAGGACCCTAGCCTCTGCTCTCTTCCCTCTGCCCTCTTCCCACTGCGTAAGAGGCCCTTTGGGGTCTCTCTTCCTCATTATTTGTGTGGTGGCTGCATTTTTTCGCTCGCGCGAGAGAGAGCGAGAGAGAGAGAGAGGACCCTAGCCTCTGCTCTCTTCCCTCTGCCCTCTTCCCACTGCCTCCCTAGCCTATATAAGAGGCCCTTTGGGGTCTCTCTTCCTCATTATTTGTGTGGTGGCTGCAATTTTTCGCTCGCACGAGAGAGAGCGAGAGAGAGAGAGAGGACCCTAGCCTCTGCTCTCTTCCCTCTGCCCTCTTCCCACTGCCTCCCTAGCCTATATAAGAGGCCCTTTGGGGTCTCTTATCCTCATTATTTGTGTGGTGGCTGCAATTTTTCGCTCGCGTCGACCGCCTTCGGCGGCCGACGCTCGACAGCGCGGCCTTCGGCCGCGCGTTTGGGGCGACAAGGGAGAAACGACACAAGAAACTAAAATCAAGGACATACACGCAATGGCTCCATCAACAGCCACATAGGACAACAAGCGGCAGCATCAACATGGGGCACGAAGAGGCGGATGCTACATCCGATCCGCCTGCAGGGCATGCAGAATGCCCGTCATCGTCTGCCACACCGAGCGGACCACCAGAATGGCGGCGCCAATCGCGTCGGCTCCGGAACCTGCCCGCAGGTACCTCCGTAAGTCCCGCACAGCCGCGTCCAGTTGCGCCACAGCCCCAACGCCTCCCCGCACGGGCGCGGCCAACACAGGCGCTAGGAGGAGGGCAATCTGGTCGGCCGCGTCAAGACAGTCGTCCCGCGGGCCGTCAAGCAGTGATTCCGCCGGAACAGGCGGAAGAGACCCGTGCGCCAGGGACTGCACAAGCAGGAGCGCACGGAGGCTCTCCGAGAGCCTCCATAACTGGCCGAGCGTCGCCTCCGGAACCTCGGCGCGCGGGGGAAGGAGCTCCTCCGCCAGAGAAGGGAGCTGTAGTCGAGGAAGTCCAGCCCCACCACCACGAGCAGGGGCCGAGGGAGTCGGCAGTGACACCGCGGGCGTCAGAGCAACCACGGGGCGAGCGACCGGAAGGGGAGCAGACGGCGTTGGAGCCGCACGTCGCGAGTTGTTCTGACTCGCCGGGCCGGCCTGACCGTCGCGAAACGCCTCAGTCACAATCTGCCGCACGTTCGCGATTGTTGCTGGCGCGTCCAGCCACCCGCCACGCCCGCGACCACGACCCCCCCTCCACCCACCCTGGTGCGCATGCCAGTTCGCCTGCGGCTGCCGTCGGTGAGGGGAATCACGCCGTCGACGAGACACATCCCGCTCATCTTGGGGGGAGGGCGAATGAGGACGGGAGTTACGCTGCAGCACTGCCGGAGGAAGGGCATGGCCAGACGCGGAAGCCGAGGGGAGCGGAGGGGCAGACTTCCCACCCGGTGCATCAAGGGATGCAGCAGGAGACACCACGGGCAGCGCCACAGGCGCAGGAGGAGGCGCCACGCCAGACGCAGGTGCCACCCCAGCAACAGCCGCCGTCTCAGCAGGCGACGGCAACACCGGAACGTGAGGCGCGGGAGAGGGCGCCGCGCCAGGAGCAGGGAGAGGCGCCACGTCAGCCGCAGGCGCCAGAACGAAGGCAGGCACAGGCGCCGGCGCCACCACGCGCGGTTGGACGGCCACACCCGCCGACTCTCGTCCAGAGTCGACTACCGTGGAGCACGCGTGAGCAGGAGAACCCGCGACAGACATTGCCGCAACAGGGGCAACCGGCGCCGACTGTACCGGCGAGGCAAGCGCAGCAAACGCCACGCCAAACGGCCGCGGCGAATACGGCAACGGGGAACCGCCACCACCTGCGACAGGCATTACGTGGAGGCAGAGGCGGGCGGCGGTGAGCTGCGGGGCGTGGCCGAGGACGGGAGAACGGCTTCCAACGGGCGGCGAGGCTAGCTTTAACAGATGCGGAAGTCAACAACGCGGCGGAGGATGAAGCAGATGAGGCGCAAGACCCCACCTTTATTGCCCAGCCAGCCGCTGAATCAACCACGGAAGGAAGTGGTGGGGATGAAGGTGAAGCTGCTCCAGTATAGAGAGTCGAGTGAATGTTTCAACACCCGCCCGAGCCGCATCTGCACAAACTGGAATTGGGGGGGAACCAAACCCAGACGCACCCCACACCACCACACCACCAACACGCCAATTCTCGCCAGAACAGCTGGCGAAGGACATGATCCGCTTCAACGAAATTCGCACCTGGGACCTGACACCACTACGCGACAGTCGTCAGCCACCCCTCTCCCGCAAAATTCCGCACGAAATCCACACCAGTTTCGCAAACGCGCTGCTGACACCCCTGCTTCACCTCGCACGCCACCCTGACTCAGTACCGGGTTGGCGCCTGTTACTCTTTATTCCCCGCCTAATCCTTCGCCAGGCGAAACCAGGGAAGCCTGATTGGCCCGCAGTGAAGTTGCGGCTTCGTCAGTTTTTCAAGGGCGAATGGGAACAACTGTACGAGGCAGCCGTGGCAGCGGTCAACTCCCCCCCAGCGCCACGTCACCAGCCGGACGAGTTGGGAAAACGTGCCAGAGCAGAAGGACTTGTTCAAAAGGGCAGCCTTCGGCGGGCCATCCTAGCCCTCGAATCTACACCCGTGGCAGATCCAACGCCGGAGATACTGGATTCACTTAAATCCAAGCACCCACCCACGCCACCTGGACACATTGACTGGACACCAACGGACGAGGCCCACGTGGTGACCATCACCTCAGCTGCATTCGCGAAAATCCTATGCCGCTGCGAAAACGGTGTGGGGGGAGGGCCGTCGGGGATGACGTTCGAACACCTCAGGGATGCAGCTATCGCCAACGCAGCCGTTACCACCCACCTCCACGCCCTCGTCAACACAATACTCCAAGGGAAACTCCCCGAAGAGGTGTGCTCCTTGCTCACGTCCTCCCGCCTCATCGCTCTCGCTAAGCCAGAGGGAGGGACTCGGCCCATAGCCGTAGGAGAGTGTGTCCTACGCCTCGCGGCAAAATCGGCACTTTCCTCACTAGCAGAAGCGGCACGAGCCCATTTCCTCCCACTCCAGTACTGCGTCGCCGTCCAGGGAGGTAGCGAGGCGATAATCCACGCCGCCAGATCATACATGAGCACGCACAGTGACGCCACGATTCTCCAGGCGGATCTCTCAAACGCGTTTAATAGCATCAGTCGCGAGGCAATCGTAGCGGGCCTACGTGGAAGTACGCTAGAAGGGATCCTCCCCCTAGTTCACTCCTCTTACGGCGCGCCGTCAGAGCTATTTCTCGACGTCGGCTTTAATAGCCCTCCCATATCCAGCATTACAGGGGTCCGCCAGGGCGACCCCCTCGGGCCCTTGCTCTTCGCCGCGGGCATCCACCCCTCCCTCGCCGCGACCGCAGCCGCCTTCCCGACCGTGCTCTGCCTCGCATTCGCTGACGATGTCACGTTCCTGGGCAAAGTGGCGGAGTGTACAGCGGCGTTCACCCACTTCACGAGCAGCCTCCGGAGCATGGGGCTCAGGCACAACGCCGGGAAATGTGCGGCGTGGAGCGCTGTTCGACCACCGGAGGGGGCCTTGCCGGAAGGGGTCCCATTCTGCCACGACGGACTGCGCGTTCTGGGCAGTTTCATCGGCGCGCCAGACGGAGCAGCAGCATTTATTCGGGCTCAGCTGCAAGCCATGACAACCCCACTCCCGCAGATAGCCGACCTGGAACCACAGGCAGCACCACTGCTGCTGACCAGGTGCATCTCGAGGCGGATGTCATACCTCGCGCGCACAACCCCACTCACACTTCTGCCCGAAGAGGAATGGTCACGGTGGGGCCAGAAGCTGCTCCACACACTGCTCGACGCCTGCGGCGTGCGCCACCCAAGGGGGGATGCGGAGGAACATAGCGTGTGGGACCAGGCTTCCCTCCCCCCGAGCCTGGGAGGCCTGGGGCTGGCAGACCCATCGGTGGAAGGGCGCTACAGCTACCTGGCAAGCTTTGTCCAGGCGCACGGACTCCTAGCCTCCCTGCCCGGCCCCGCAGGAGCTCACCTCTCCACCGCCCTGAACTGGACAGAGGAGGTGGACCCGGACCCGAACCAACTGCAAACCTGGCTTGGGGAGTGCAAGGCAAGCCTCACACAGGAGGGACGTGACCTGCTGGCGGCAGAGATGGCAGCACCCAAGGGACAGCTGCAGCACCACCTTGCCCTCTTAGTCCAGGGAGGACGTAGTGCCGCCCAAGTTGCAGCGTCACGGCATATGGAGCTGAACCCCCTATGCGGCCACACCTAGCGGCTATTGTCCCTCACTGGCTACGGTGCGGGGGACTGGCTAATAGCCATCCCCTACATGCCCTCCCTCCGCCTCGATCCTGACCACTTCTCATTCGCCCTCCAGTTCCGCCTAGGACTGCCTCTCCCCGTCCCTGACAACTGCGACTGCACAAAGAGAGTCAGCAGAAAAGCGCCTCCCCAACCACCTCCTCCGCTGCGGCACAGGGCACGGACGGACCAACACACACAACGAGCTGAGGGATGAGTGTGTGCGTATGGCTCAAGACGCAGGGTTCATAGTGCACAAGGAGAGCACGGCGTTTAGCCCGGTCGACAACAAGAAGGCCGACCTGGCCATTCGGGACAGAAGCAGTGGGGCGGTGTGGCTGGGTGACATAACCATCACCGACCCTATCAGCAAACGGGACGAGACTGCAAGGAAGGGACGGGGATGGGCAGCAAGGGAGGCAGCAGATAAGAAAATCGGGCTATACCACGGCAGGGCTGAATTTGCAGGCTTTTACCCGCTGGCAGTCGAGACCTATGGCTGCCCGTGGGATGAGGTGCAGGCTTTCTTGAAGCACCTGGCGGACAGAGCAGCACGCTTACACTTCAACGCGGACCCCTCAAGCTTCCAGGCCGCAAAGCTGCTGCACCAGTTCCGCCAGCGGTTGTCTGTCGCCTTGCAAAGGGCACAGGCAGTGAGCTTCCTTATCAAGATGAACCTGGCAGCCCAGAAGGAGAACCCAGCCTTAGGAGGCCCCGAGGGGGTCCTGGACCCGGGGGAGTGCTTTGCTACCCTCGAACCGGGCAATGGTAGCGAGTAGAAGACTTGGGGGGGGGGGGGGGGAGGGGGGAAAGGGGTAGGGAGGAGAATAGTTAGTCATACCTGGTTGTTGCTTGCTTGCTTGCCTTTGCTGTTTTCTCTTTTCTATATCAATACAAAGGTCCGTTCGAGAGAGAGAGAGAGAGAGAGAGAGAGAGAGAGAGAGAGAGAGAGAGAGAGAGAGAGAGAGAGAGAGAGAGAGAGAGGATCCTAGCCTCTGCCCTCTCCCTTTAGCCCTCTGCCCTCTCCTTTGTGAGCTATATAAGAGGCCTCTCTGGGCCTCTTCATCTCATTGTTCAGTTGGTGCATAAATTTTCCCTCGTTCGAGAGAGCGAGAGAGAGAGAGAGAGAGAGAGGATCCTAGCCTCTGCCCTCTCCCTTTAGCCCTCTGCCCTCTCCTTTGTGAGCTATATAAGAGGCCTCTCTGGGCCTCTTCATCTCATTGTTCAGTTGGTGCATAAATTTTCGCGCTTGGGACGGCAAGGAATAGCACATGCCAGTGGCAATAAGCAAGGACATACATGCAATGACATCTTCAACTACGGCCTAGGCAAGCATGACACCACTAGAGCAAGCGGAGCCCGCGTCTACATGCGGTGAGCTCCAAGGGCGTGAAGAACGCCCTTCAGGGAGCGCCACAGCTCCCGGACCACAAGCGTGCTTGCTCCGATCGCCGCGGCTCCAGATCCTGCACGCAAGTGCCGCCTCAAGCCCCGGACAGCCTCGTCAAGCTGCCCCGCAGCAGCAGCGCCACCCTCCGCGGGCGCAGCCAGCACGGGCGCCAGGAGCACTGCGAGCTGGTCTGCCGCGTCCAGGCAAGTGTCACGCTGGCGGCCACGGAAGGTCTCAGGAGGGATTACGGGGAGAGACGAATGAGCAACCACCTGAATCAGCAGCAGCGCGTGAAGACTCTCAGCGAGGCGATGGAGTTGGCCGAGCGTCGCCTCCGGAGCGCGAGTCTGCGGAGGCTGAAGCGCCTCCGCTAGGAACAGGAGCTGCTGATCTTCATCAGCGGGATGAGAATACTGCGCCGCCAACGCGCCGCCACCAGCGGCCACAAATTCCACCCCCGCAACAGGCGGAACCGGCGGCAAGCGAAGACGCGCTCCAGGGGTGGGCGCCGACGCGGAGCAGGAGCCGTTGGGATGTGCACCTGAGGGAGGGGTGCAGCGACAGGCGGCGGACTCAAGGGGAGCACAGGCTGGCGTGGAGCCTCATGGGCCGGCGAGGCACGCATCGAACTGCTCTGGCTCTGCGACGCCCTCTCCTCGCGTACCGCCATCGACACTTCCCGCTGAAGATCTGCCATCGTCACGGGCCGGCGGTAACCCCCACCGCCACCGCGCCCGCGGGGACCCCTCCAGTCCCCCTGACCACCGGGGTGAGCAGGCCAGTGAGACTGCTGCTGGTAACGCCGTGGAGAATCACGACGGCGACGAGACGACTTGCGCTCCTGGTGGGCCGCGGGGGAATGGGGGCGAGACAGGCAGCGGTCAGGTGACGGCTGACCTGCCGGGGCCACCGGCGTCACCGCAGGCGCGGATTGACCCGCCGCTGAGGGCGCAACCGACGGAGCCGGGCCGACAGTGGTGGCGGACGCCGCCTTCGGTGACGAAGCAGAAGCCGGAGCAGGCACGTCGGGGGCAGAAGCGTGCGGTGCAAAGGGGGCGCCAGGGACAGGAACAGGGGGATCAGCATCGGCCCCAGCAAGAGCAGACGCCGGCGGCTCGGCAAGGAGAGCCAGGGGACCAGGAGCAGCAGCCGGAACGGACGGAACAGCAACAGGGGCAGACGGGCCCGCATCTGGCACGGCAAGGGGATCCGCGGGTGCGTGGGGAAGAGTCTTTTCAGCGTCTGTTGTCACGGGCTTCGGAGCCGGCGGTACAGGGGGCTTCGTCGCCATGGTCGCCCTTTCGGGCCCCGACGGAGGCTTCGCGGCCACAGCCGACCAGGCGGCAACGCGCTCTGGCGATGGCTGAGACGAACCGGCAATCACCATCGCAGGCGAGAGAAGCTCACGGAGAGGGGCGCCAGGCAGCTAGCGGAGCAGGCGGAGGGCCGGAGAATGGGTATCAGGCAGTAGGTCGAAGGGCTTTAATCATGCTGGTTGCAGCTAATGAGGCCGAAGAGAGAGCAGATCCTACATATAGGGAAGAGGACTTGCCGGAAAGCGAGAATGAAGAATCGGATGAAGCAGAGATCACAAGGGCAAGGGCAGAGAGGAGAGGACCAGATACAGACCACGTACCCACGGCAGGAGCAGGGAGGCAAGAGGGACCGTCCGATGCGGATCGAAGGGACGTGATTCCAACCCTGCCTCAATCGGCGAGAACGAGCCGCGCTCACAGAAATCGGACCGCATCTTTCCGTCATGCAACTCGCAACACACCTCAGCACCCTCGCTATTTTTCGTCAGAGGAGCTGGCAGAGATGGACGATAAATTCGCTGACATCGCGAACTGGGATGTTTCTGCCCTTCGCGACAGCCGACAACCACCACTGTCACGACGTTTACCGCCAAACCTATGCCAGTTATTTTCGCTGGCACTCCTGACCCCGCTTCACCACCTCTCGCGAAACCCGGACTCCGAAGCAGGATGGCGACTGCTGCTTTTTCTCCCGCGACTAACTCTTCGCCAAGCCTCGCCAAAGCACCCAAACTGGCCACAAGTCAAGGCCCGGCTCCGGGCTTTCCAGCGTGGCGAATGGGCCCAGCTGTACGAGGACGCAGTAAACGCGGTCAACACCCCTCCGCCACCCCGACACCAACCCGATGCGACAGGTGTCTTGCGCCGAGCCGAGGGGTTGGCGAAAAGTGGCAGCCTGCGCCGAGCTGTGCTGGCGCTCGAGTCAACGCCCGTCTGCACACCCAGTCCAGAAATCCTGGACGAACTTCGCCAGAAACACCCGCCAGCAGGGGATTGTCCGCTGACCTGGCAGGAGATTGACACCCGAAAACTATGCATCCCCCACGGTGAATTCGCGAAGCTTCTGGGGCGATGCGAGAATGGTGTGGGGGCCGGACCGTCAGGTACAACATTTGAGCATCTTCGCGACGCGGCAGTAACCAATGCATCAGTCAGCACCCATCTGCACGCCCTCGTTAACACTATTCTGGGGGGAAACCTACCTGCCTCGGTAGCGGAGCTCCTGACAGCATCTAGACTTATAGCCTTGGCCAAGCCAGGGGGAGGGGCTCGGCCAATCGCTATTGGCGAATGCCTGACGCGGCTGGCTGCCGAGGCTGCGCTTTTGGTTATGGGCGAAGCAGCTCGGGAATATTTCCTGCCCCTACAGTACGGTGTGGCTATGCCAGGCGGGGCGGAGGCAGTAATCCACGCCGCCCGGGCATTCGTGGACGCCAATCCGAACAGCCTGGTACTGCAAACTGACATCGCGAATGCCTTCAATAGCATTTCGCGACATGCCATCGCAGCTGCGTTACAGGACCCCAGCTTGTCGCCACTGCTACCATTGGTCAAACTGACCTACGGTAACCCGTCTCAACTGCACCTAGACGCAAACTTTGCAAGTGAACCTCTGAGTAGTGAACGTGGCGTTCGCCAAGGCGACCCGCTGGGCCCACTCCTGTTCGCGGCTGGGATTCATCCCACACTTCGTGACACTGCAGCAGCACATCCCGAGGTACTTTGTTTGGCATATGCAGACGACGTGACATTTGTGGGTGAGCCATGCAACAGTAGCTGCCTTCACACACTTCACCACCAAGCTGGATTTGCTGGGCCTGAGACACAACCCGCACAAGTGTACGGCATGGAGCAGTGTGACATGCGACGCAACACAACTGCCCCCGGGGGTCCCGTTCTGCAAGGATGGTGTTCGGCTGCTTGGAAGTTTCATCGGGCCGGCTGACGGTGCAGCCGCGTTCTTGGCTGGGCAACTTGGGGAGATGACGAAACCGCTGCCTCTCATCGAGCGGGCCGACCCACAAGTAGCTTCACTACTGATCACGCGCTGCATCTCCCGGCGCGTGGCGTATCTTACACGGACGACTCCCCTCGACCTCCTCGCCCGGGATAAATGGACCCAGTGGGGCCGGGACCTCCTAACGGCTCTGCTCACTTCGTGCAACATACGTGTCCCCGCGGGTAGAATAGAGCAGTCACGGGTATGGGCCCAGGCGTCTCTCCCTCCGTCGCTTGGGGGAGTTGGCATCACAGACCCTTTGATAGAGGGAGTGTACGGTTTCGTCGCGAGCTTCACTCAGGCGACACTGTTCTTCTCCTCGCTCGCGCTAGCCCTGGAATCTGCACTGACACAACGCACGCAGCCATATGCTACAGCCTAGAGATGAGAGCACACCACTTCACACCTGGCTCGCTGAGTGCGAAACAGCCCTGCCAACCGACGCGCAGGAGCTGCTGGAACGAGAGAGATCACACCGCTCGGACGTCAAATTATAGCATGCGCTCGCCTTACAAGTCCACGGTAGTCGTTACGCGGTGCAGGTCCGGGAGACAAGGGGCATGAAGCCGAATCCGCTAGCGGGCCACACGCAACGGATGTTCTCTTTAACGGGATACGGCACCGGGGATTGGTTGACAGCAATACCCATAGCAGCGACACGGCGCATAGGGCCAGTACATTTCGCCAACGCCGTCAGATTTCGCCTTGGCTTGCCCTTTTCTACCCCCAAAAACTGTGACTGCGCAGACCACACAGCAATCACAGATCCCCGCCTCCCAAACCACCTCCTTCGCTGTGGCACAGGCAAGCATCGCATCAACACCCACAATGAGCTCAGGGATGCATGCATTAGCATGGCTCAGGATGCGGGTTTCATAGTACACAGTGAGTCGGCCGCATATTGTCCCATCGAGGAGCAGACGGCCGACTTCACCATGACGGACAGGAGCAGTGGAGCAGTTTGGGTGTGTGATGTGACTGTGACAGACCCCATCAGCACACGGGATCCAGAGGCACTGAAAGGCAGGGGATGGGCTGCAAGGGAGCAGGCCGACAAAAAGATTAAACACTACGCGAACAGACCAGAGACCGTTGGCTTCTTTCCGCTGGCGGTGGAGACCTATGGCTGCCCATGTGCCGAGGTCCCCGTCTTCCTGAAACTCCTGGCAGACACAGCGGCTCGGCGCTACTTCAACGCCGACTCTAACTCCTATCATGCTGCTAAGTTTCTACATCAGTTCAGGTAGGGGTGGTCGGTTGCTCTGCAGAGGGCACAGTCTGTGGGCCTACTGATGAAGATGGGTGAGGCGGCGGCAGCTGAAAACCCGCCAGTAGGGGGCATAGGCCATGAACTACATCTCGGTGATTGCTTTGCTGTTATAGAGCCCCTGGTGGAGCTCTAGAGGGGATAGGCTTGGGTTTGCACGTTTTAGAGGAAACATCCGTATTGTATGTGTGTACATGTTCTGACATATCAATATACGGACCATTAGAGAGAGAGAGAAGGAGAGAGAGAGAGAGAGAGAGAGAGAGAGAGAGAGAGAGAGAGAGAGAGAGAGAGAGAGAGAGAGAGAGGCATAGTCCTAGTCCTTAGCCTCTCCTTCTCCTTCCTCCCTAGTACTTAAGGCCTAGCTGCGTGCCTAGCATCTCATTATTCAGTTTGTGGTTGGTTTCTTTCTCCTAACCGAGCGGGGGAGAGAGAGAGAGAGAGAGAGAGAGAGAGAGAGAGAGAGAGAGAGAGAGAGAGAGAGAGAGAGGCATAGTCCTAGTCCTTAGCCTCTCCTTCTCCTTCCTCCCTAGTACTTAAGGCCAAGCTGCCTGCCTAGCATCTCATTATTCAGTTTGTGGTTGGTTTCTTTCTCCTAACCGAGCGGCTCGCGCCGGCCTTCGGCCGCGCATGAGGGGACGGCAAGGGAGAAAAGGGACATGCAACTATAATTCAAGACATACACGCAATGGTATCACCTACACCTGTCTAGGACAACACACGGCAACAACATGGCGCAGGATGAGGCGGACGCTACATCTGATCCGCGTCAAGAACAGCGAGAAGACCCGTCAGAGAGCGATGAAGCTCGTGCACCACCACTGTGGTTGCGCCGATCAAGTCGACTGCAGTCCCTGCGCGCAAAAACCGGCGCAGACCACGGACTGCCGTCCCAAGCTGTCCAACGCCCGCAACTCCACCCCGCGCGGGCGCAGCCAACATGGGCGCCAGGAGCTCGCCCAGCCGATCAGCGGCATCTAGGCACTCGTCCCGATGGCCACTCTCCAGAGGAACACCCTGGGCGAGAGCCGCGTGACCATACACCTGAATCAGGTGAACAGCCCGCAGGCCCTCAGAGAGGCGCCACAGCTGCCCCAGAGACGCCTCCGGCACCACAGCGGAAGGAGAGGGCCCCATCAGCGACTGCTGAGGTAGCGCAGCAGCCGGCTGAGCAGGAGTGACGGGCAGCAGAGATGGATACTGACCCGTCACAGGTCCCCCTGCCGCGGTCACAAACTCCATACCCGCCACAGGAGGAACCCACGGCAGGCGCATACGGTTCCCAAGAGCAGCAGCAGATGCAGAGGGAGCATGAGGAGGAGGAACGGCCGATTGGAGAAGAGAAGGCGCCGGCGCATAGGGCGCAGCTGGAGGAAGGGACGCATGCGTTGGAGCGACGCGAGGCGAATTGCTCTGGCTCGCCTGCCCGTTTCGCTCCTCGCGCACAGCAGCAGAAACAGCTCGCTGCAGATCGGCCATCGACACCGGCCGATCATACCCCTAGTCACCACCACGACCGCGCCCTCCCCACCAGCCACCGCGACCACCGCGGGACGCAGGCCAGTTCGCTTGGGAACCACGGCGCCGAGGAGAGTCGTGTCGCCGCCGCGACCTCTCCCGCTCGTCACGAGGTGCAGGGGAGTGTGGCCGATGCTGCCGGCTACATGGAGACGGCGGGCGCTGAGCAGGCGGGGCAGCAGCAAGCGGCGCAGGATCATGAACCGCCTGGACATCCGGGGTCTGCACGGGCGGTGGCACAGTCGGAGGGGCGGGAGCAACAGAGACCGCTACCTGGCCCGGGCCGTCAGTGGTGGCGGACACCACCGGTTGCGACGCCACGGCGCCAGCAGGGGCAGCGGCGACAATCGGGGCGTCAAGAACGGGGGCATCTGGTGGAGCAGGATCAGCAGCGGCAGTCCGTGCCGCAGGGTTCACAGGGACAGGCGGCGCAACAGCAGGAGCAGAGAGTGCAGGAGGGTCAGGAGCAGCCTGCGCCTCACACGACACGAGGCCCGGAGCCAGAGGCGCAGGGCAACCAGCGGCCAAGGGGGCTAGTTCCGGGGCAGGGGGGACTGGCGGCTTCATTGCAACACTCCCCGAGGCAGACACCGGCGGTGACCTTCCGCTCGCCTCTGACGCAGAGGCAGCGGGCCTTGGCAATGGCCACGAGTCGCCAGCAATCACCATCGCGAGGCGGGAGGAGACGAGGAGCAGAACGCGGGGAAGGGCGGCGAATCGAAGGCGGACCGGAGAACGCTTTCCAGGCGGCGGCACGACGGGCTTTAATACGACTCGACGAGAATAATGATCCGGAGGAGCGGAACGACCCCTCTTATAGGGAGGAAGCACAAGAGCCGAGCGAGGAGGAAGACGAGGAGGATGAGAGAGAACAAACGACGGGACGAAGTGCACGGAACCAGAGAGGATCGGAAGTGCAAGCAGGAGGCGGCCAGGGACCACAGGATGTGAATCCGACGGTCACCATTCCAACCCCGCCCTCAACTCGTACTTCAAGCCGCGGACGCACAAATCGAACTGCTAGGGGTCTGGCACATGCGGCTTGCCGGTCCCAAAATCCGCGCTATTTTTCGCCAGAGGAGCTGGCGAGGCAGACTGGAAAATTCGCCGAGGTGGCGGGGTGGGATATTTCGCCACTCTGCGATAGTCGCCAACCTACTCTGTTACGACGGCTACCGCCAAACTTGTGCGAGATCTTCTCGCTCGAAGTGCTGACACCACTCCTGCACCTCTCGCGAAACCCAGACTCCATCGGGGGCTGGAAGTTACTCTTATTTCTACCGCGCCTGACACTGCGACAGCGTTCGCCGAAACGACCTGATTGGCCCAAAATCAAGGCACGGCTCCGTGCTTTTCAACGCGGCGAGTGGCAGCAGCTGTACTTGGACACGGTTGAAGCTGTCAACACACCACCCCCGCCACGTCACCAGCCTGACGACGTGGGGACCATCAGCAGAGCGGAGGGCCTGGCAAAGAAAGGGAGTCTGGGCCGGGCCGTGTTGGCGCTCGAGTCAAGACCAGTCTGTACGCCCAGCCCAGAGACTCTGGAGGAACTCCGCTGAAAGCATCCCGCAGCCGACCCCGAACCCCTGACCTGGCCTGACATCACCGAGCCTCCCAACCTCGAAATTTCCTACGCGGATTTTTCAAAAATGCTCAGCTGATGTCAGAACGGCGTCGGGGCCGGCCCGAGTGGAATTACATTCGAACATCTTCGCGACCCGTCAGTAACCAATGCATCAGTCTCGACCCATCTGCACGCCTTAGTAAATACGATCCAGAGGCGAAATCTGCCGCTGCTAGTCGCGGAACTGCTCACATCATCACGTCTGATAGCTCTGGCCAAGCCAGAGGGTGGGGCCCGCCCAATAGCGATTGGAGAAAGCCTGACCCGCCTGACTGCAAAAGCTGCGCTGGCAGCCCTGGGCGAAGCGGCGCGGGGATATTTTCTCCCACTTCAGTATGGTGTAGCTGTGCCAAGAGGAGCGGAGGCAATCATCCACAGCGCTCGAGCATACACGGATGCTCACCCAAACTGCCTTACGCTACAAACCGATATTTCCAACGCCTTCAACAGCATATCGAGGCAAGCCATAATAACTGCTCTACAAGACCCGTCACTTTCACCCCTACTGCCCCTAGTCAAGCTGACATACGGCCACCCATCATCACTATACCTAGACACTAGCTTCAGTAGCGCGCCACTGAGAAGTGAACGCGGGGTGCGACAAGGGGATCCCTTAGGTCCGCTTCTGTTCGCGGCCGGGATCCACCCCGCATTAAGAGCTACGGCAGCAGCACATCCCGGCGTACTGTGCCTGGCATATGCCGATGACGTCAGTTTCTTGGGCGAACACCATGATACCGTAGCTGCCTTTTCGCACTTCACGAGCCAATTATCCCAAGTAGGTCTGCGACACAACCAGGGGAAATGTGTCGCATGGAGCAACCACACGATAGACCAGGAGATGCAGCTGCCGCCCGGGGTGCCGACTAGCACTGAGGGTGTCCGGCTTCTCGGTAGCTTCCTAGGAACACCAGAAGGTGCCGCATCCTTCCTATCCGCGCAGCTCCAGTCGATGTCCAAACCACTGCCACTGATAGAACGAATGGACCCGCAGGTCGCATCTCTCCTGCTCACTCGCTGCATCTCACGTCGAGTAGCGTATCTCACGCGAACGACCCCTCTGCATCTTCTGGACAGGGACATCTGGTCCCAGTGGGGTAGGGACCTGCTGGCCACCCTCCTTACAGCGTGCGGCATACGCTTTCCATCGGACGGAGAAGAACAGACCCGGGTTTGGGAGCAGTCATCACTCCCACCGTCACTAGGGGGCATAGGACTCACAGACCCCACGGTGGAAGGTACATTTTGCTTCCTTGCCAGTTTTACGCAAGCATCCCTCCTCCTTAGTGCCCTGCTGCTGGAGTCAGAAGTGGCCTTGACAGCGGCGAGGAATCACATGCTACTTCCGCGAGATAGCACCACCGCTCTGCACCGCTGGCTGGCCGAATGCGAGAGAACACTGCCGCAGGAGGCCAGGGACGTCCTAGACAAGGAGAGACTCGAGCCTTCAGATCTAAAGTTGCAGCACGAGCTCTGGGTGAGAGTGCAGGGGAGGAGATATGCCAAACATGTACAGGCAACCCGGCGCATGCGACTGAACCCATTGTCAGGCCATACCCAAGGATTCTTCTCTCTGACTGGCTACGGCACGGGGGACTGGCTGACTGCAGTCCCAATAGAACATACCCGCAGAGTAGGCCCTGAGCACTTCGCCAATGCCGTCCGCTTCAGACTGGGGCTTCCCTTCTCTACACCCAAAAACTGTGACTGCTCTAAGCATGTAGAGATCAAGGACCCACGGCTGCCGAACCACCTCTTCCGCTGCGGCACGGGCAAGCACAGAATCAACACTCACAATGTACCCTTTGGTTATATCAATACAAGGACCATTAGAGAGATAGAGAGAGAGAGAGAGAGAGAGAGAGAGAGAGAGAGAGAGAGAGAGAGAGAGAGAGAGAGAGAGAGAGAGAGAGAGAGAGCTGACCCGTGGAAGCCACAGCTGGGGGACCTGTGGCAGGTCCTGGAAGATGGGTATGCCCAGGACTGGAGCTGGGAGGAGTAAAGGCCGGAGAGGCCTATGAGGCGGCGAGGGTAGCCCGCAGCTGGGTGGATGGCCCTACAGGCGGAGAGGGGGCTTGGGTGCCTGCCTAGGACTAAGGCTATGAGCCTAAGGCAATGAATGCTTGCTTGCTGGCTTGCTTAGGATGGGTGCTTATATCCTAGGTGGTTAGTTTGCTTGCCAGGACTAGCTATCACCCTGCTTGTACCCTCCTATACATCAATGAAGGACCGCTTGAGAGAGAGAGAGAGACCCTTGGGTCCTAGTCCTTAGCCATTTCTTAGCCTAGTTCCTTAGCCTAGCCTAGTCCTTGGCCACTTCGGCCCAGTTCTCTAGTATATAAGGGCAAGGAGCCCATTTTCCTCCTCATTGTTTGGTGGTGACTTCATTCTCACTGCAAAAATCGGCGGCTCGCGCCGGCCGCCTTTGGCGGCCGGCGCTCGACAGCGCGGCCTTCGGCCGCGCGAGAGGGGTGGCAAGGAAATAGCAACAATCACCATTTGCGGTACATACAACATGCAGCAGTAGCTACGCCCAAACACCACGGGCAAGGTAAGTTGGACGGGGAAAGGATGGGGAACAAAAAGGCAAATGGCAAGGCCCAGAAGGGGGAGAACACGAAACGTGGTTCAACACGTAAAAACGCCGGCGGATCCAGCGGAGCAATGACGTGAGGGCAGGCACAAGCTGCAGGGGTGCTTCTTCGGCAGCCGTGGCGACCCTGCGGAAAGCCCTCGCGCCCGGCCCCTCGTTCTCGTCAGGATGCTCGGACTCCAGGGGCAAGCGGAGGAGCCTCCACAAGCCCTGCGCCGCAGCCTCACGGACAACACCCTGCTGCTGCTCGGCCAGCTGGGGATCCCGCAGCACGAAGTTCCGCGCCTCCAGACCAGCATGCAACTGCTCCAGCGCCGTCGCCACGTGGGAGAGGCACTCGCCAACACCAATCATGCGCCGCTCCCAACGGAGGACATCAAGGACGAAGTCGGACTTCATGTCCCAGTCCCAACCCCACGTCGTCCCGGACATCGGAGGAGACTCCCACAGCTCGCCGTTCCACCACTTCTCGTCGTCCTCAGGATCAGGTGCGTCGGGCGGAAGCGGGGGAGACTGTGCACGAGGCGAAGGCGGAGGGAAACGAGCGACGGGTGCGGGGTCAAGAGAAACAAGGGGATGCTGCCGCTGAGGAGGCTTAGACAGAGGATCAGCAGCGACACGCGTCTGAGCGGGAAGGGGGGGCACGAGATGTGCACCAGCGTGCGACACCGGCTGCGGAGGCACCGGAAGGGGAGGCGGGAGAGAGCCCGCTGCCGTTAGCGGTGCCGGCGTCAACGCAGGAGAGGCCACCAAAGGGGACGAGGCAGCTGGACCGGACGACTGCTGCTAGGATGACTGCTGAGACGACGGTGGAGGAGGCTGAGGAGGAGGTGGGTGCAGTACCAGCGGAGAGGGCGCCTGGAGATGCGGACCGACAATCTGTCGCTGCAGGGCAGGCGGTGGCCGAGGCGGTCGGCGACGACGAAAGGAACCACCACGGACCCGCAGATGAGGGTGGGTACGCCCGCGGGGCGAGCGATACACTGGCTCACGCGGATGAGAGGGGGCCCCAGCCCCCTCGCGCGCGACCAGGGCAGCGGCAGCTCAGAGTAGGATTGGCGCCAGCTCGTCCGGGGCCTCTGGCGGGTTGGGAACAGCAGAGTACCCTGCCGCGCGATCCCGCCGCGGACGTTTTCCCGTCATCACAGCAGCGCCTCGAGGCTCAGGAGGAGGGGGAGGTGGAGCGACAGGCGGTAGAGCAGGCAGATGACGAGGCTAAGGAGGAGGAAGCGGTGTTGGCGGCAAGCGCCGTGGAACGGAGAAGGCGGGCAGGAACAAGCCGGCAGAGAGTGCTTCAGGAACGAGCGGATGACCTAGCCGCGGGCCAACAGCCGCAAAACGCGGCGGCGAGGGCGGCCACCAGAGGCCGCGGACGAGGCCGAGGCAGGGGCGGGTGCGTGGGCGAGCTGGTGAGAGCGGTTGCAAGGGAGAAGGCCAGATCTGGAAACTGGCGGGAACTGCACGGGAGGCCAGAGGATATTGGGGAGGAACCAATGAATGAACCTGCACAAGAGGAGGGGTCAGAATATATGGAGGAACAAGAGGAGGAGTCAGAAGACGTATCTGTCGAGGCAGAGGATGGGATCCCCACAAATGGGGACGGGGGTAGACGACGTGGAGGCAGACAGGGACGGGAGGATCGAGAAAATCACGCGCAGGTGGGCGAATCAGAGGCCCAGGGGGCCAACGATGCTGCCAGCAAGGAGAGGGCACCCCTGAAGATCGCTGAGGATGAGAACGCGTGGCACAAGGTACTGGACTGGGATCTGGGACCTCTCCGGGCCAGCGCACAACCGTTCCTGGTCCGGAGACTCCTTCCAGAAATCCTGAAGGTGTTCATCCACTGCATGACCGTACCACTCCTGCGACTCTCGAAGCATCCAGACTGCCTCGGTGTGTGGCGGATGTTACAATTCCTCCCCAGGCTCACATTACAGGCGGAAATGGAGACAGCACCGGGAAACAGATGGCAGGCAGTCGAGGCTCGGCTTCGACAGTTCCGAGAAGAGGAGTGGGACGCACTGTACACCCAGGCCAGCACTTTCCCCCCAAACTCAAAACCGGACAGGCACGAACCGAACCCTGAATGAATCTGCGCCAGAGCAGAAGGGCTGGTACGGAAAGCCAACCTGGCGAAAGCGACAGCAGCACTACACACCTCGCCACAAGCCGAGCCCTCGCAAGCAACACTGGAAGCTCTTCTCTCTAAACACCCAACCCAGGAACTGGCGATACCGGAGGGGATCACGGGTTACGCAACTTGCGAGCTCGCAATAAGGGCGGAGACGTTTCGCGAAGTCCTGGCGAAATGCCCAAACGGGATAGGAGCAGGGCCATCAGGGACGTGCTTCGAGCACTTACGCGACCCTGCCTTAACCAACTGAGAGGTCTTCGCTCTCCTCCACAAGGTAGTCAATCGGCTACTAAGCACCTACCAGATCGAAGCGGTACAGGAGGTGCTGCTCCCATCCCGGCTAATCGCCCTGGAGAAGCCGGACGGAGGAGTCCGACCAATCGCGATAGGGTCCGACGAATCATAGACCCACTCTCAGAGGCACCTGCAGCATACCTGGCCTCACTGCAGGCAGCGCGGACTCTCCTACAGCACGTATCAGCAACTCCCAGCCACCCCCTGCAGCGCGTGGCGGCACTGGTGTCACCACACGGGGACGGAGCCACAGGTGAGGGCGGGACATCCATCAGAGACCTACGAAACAGACTCCCAGAAGCGGCAAGGGAGCTGCTGCGGGTGACGGACAGGGGCGGGGAGGGGAAAGGACGACTGCAAGAACACCTCTCCAGGCTGGTAAACATGGACAGGGCAGCGGAACTGGTAGGGGACACGCGGGTGGACAAGCCAGGCGAAGACAATGGCCACGTCGTCCGCCAGATCAGCCTGCAGGGAGTGGGAGCGGGGGACTGGCTCCATGCCATCCCCACACGGGTGGACCTTACGTTCTCACCAGGCCAGTTCGCAATGGCCTTGGGCTTTCGGCTAGGCCTCACCAGAGCAGTGACGGACAACTGCCCGTGCGGAAAGCGTCGGTCCAAGATAGGCGACAGAAGCCTCCCCAACCACCTGCTGAGATGTGCGGAGGGGAAGGATAGGACAAACACACACAACAGCCTGGTGTACGCGGCGCTACGGATTGCCAACGAAACTGACTATTTGACCGCCCATGAGACCACGGCCTTCTCGCAAATTGTTAACCCCAAGCGAGCGGACCAGGTCATCAAGGACAAGGAGTCAGGGGAAACCTATGTGACCAACGTCACGGTGACTGACCCAGTGCTGCAGCGTCGAGACACGAGGGCAGTGAAGCCGCCGGGCTGGGCGGCAGAGGACGCGGCAAGGGGGAAAAGGGGCATGTACGAGGGACGGCCGGAGTTTGTTGGCGTGCTTGGCTTGGCGGTGGAGACCTATGGGGCCCTGGCCAGGGACACCCAGAGGTTCCTACGCATGCTCGGGACATAGGCGGCCAAGAAAAAGTACAGACAGGGGAGGCTCACCACGGTTGCCTCCAAGCTCACTGCACATTACCGACAGCGCTGGTCGGTAATGCTACAGCGCAGCCAGGCCAATGCCATGCTGGCCAAGTCGAATAGGGCCACGGAACGGGCCTTCCCCCAGGCGCCAGCAGACCCGTGGGAGCCCCGCCTAGGGGACCTCTGGCAGGACCTCTGCCTTGCTTGCTTGGTTAGCCTGTTTTGTTCTCTAGATCTTGATTGCTTGCATGTTTAGACGGACTAGCTACCTCCTGCCATGCCTGTACTTCATGACCAACATCAATACATGACTGCTTAAGAGAGAGAGAGGCATAGTCCCTTAGTCCCTTAGCCTCTCAGCCCCACCTACCCCTAGTACTTAAGGCCTTGGGCCTGGTGTGTGGCTCATTATTTGGCTGCGAGTTCATTTCTTCTAACCCAGCGGCTCGCGCCGGCCGCCTTTGGCAGCCGACGCTCGACAGCGCGGCCTTCGGCCGCGCGTGAGGGGACGGCAAGCACAACCCAAGCATCATTACTACACTATGCAACGGCATACAAGCATGGCAGTGAGACCTACCTACTAGCACAGACATGGACCACGAACAAGCGGATGCTACATCTGATCCGCGTCAATCACAGCAAGCAGCCCCGACATCGAGCGATGCAGCTCACGCACCAACACCGTGCCTGCGGCGATCGCCCCGGATCCAGTCACTGCATGCAAAAACCGGCGCAGCCCACGTACGGCCGAACCCAGCTGCCCGACCCCCGCAAGCCCTCCCCGCGCGGGCGCAGCCAGCACGGGCGCCAGCAGCTCAGCGAGGCGATCAGCGGCGTCCAGACATTCGTCTCGAGGGCCGCCCACCAGTGAGTCGCTCTGGGAAAGAGCGTCGTGACCGTACACCCGGATCAGATGTACGGCCTGCAGAGCCTCAGAGAGGCGCCAGATCTGACCCAGGGTCACCTCTGGAACCTCAACCGTGCGCTGAGGCCCCAGCAGCGCCTGGTACGGGTGCGCGGCACCTGCAGATGGGGGAGGGGGATCCGCAGGCAGTAGGGACGGGTATTGCGCGGTCACTAGCCCCCCTGCCGCGGTCACAAACTCTACCCCCGCCACTAGGGGTACCAACGGCAGCCGAATGTGACTCCGGGGAGCCGGGGTCGAGGTGGAGGGAGCAAGAGGAGGAGGAACAGCCACATGAGGACGAGGAGCTGCCTGGGCGGGGGGCGCAGCTACAGGGAGTGCTGCTGGGGCCGGAGCGACACGCGGGGAGTTGCTCTGGCTCGCCTGCCCGTTCCGCTCCTCCCGCACAGCAGCAGACACCACACGCTGCAAATCCGCCATCGTCACCGGTTGCTCATATGCCCAGCCGCCACCGCGCTGACGCGGCCCCCACCAGCCGCCTCGCCCGCCGCGGGGTGCCGACCAGTTCGCCTGAGAACCACGGCGTCGAGGAGAGTTGTGGCGGTGCCTCGACGTCTCACGCTCGTCATTCGGCGCATGGGACTGAGGCCGCTGCTGACGACGACCAGGAGACGGCGGACGCGGTGCAGGGGGGACCGCCACAGACGGCGTGGGGGGAGCAGCCACAGGCGGCGCAGAAGGAGCAGCCACACGCGGTGCAGACGGACCCGCCACAGGTGGAGCAAGGGGAGCACTCACTAGCGGGGCAGGAAGATCCGTCACATGCAGAGCGAGGGGAGCAGCCATAGGCGGTGCAGGATGAGCAGTCACAAGGGGCGCAGGAGCAGGTCGCGCCAGCACTGGCGGAGGCGGCACCAGTGTTGCCGCAGACGGGGGAGCAGGAGTGGCGAGGAGCGCCGCCGGGCCCAGGACGTCAGTGGTGGCGGACTCCACCGATTGTGCCGCCACGACGCCCTCAACAATCGCCTGCACGACACCCACAGGCGGAGCGGGCAGGTCGGCAGCCGGAGGAGCGCCAGGCGGAGAGACTGCCGCAGTTGGCACAACGTGAGGGACAGCAGGCGCGACGGGAGGAGACGCCGACGGCTCCGGAGCCTGAAGACCGCCCTCGCCAGGCTGAGACACTAACGCCTCGCGTGGCGACAGTTCGGGGCGAGGAAGGCTTCCAGCGTCTTCTTTCACGGGCTTCGGAGCAGGCGGCAGTGGGGCCTTCGTCGCCATGGTCGCCGTTCCGGAGGCAGATGGTGGCCTTTTGTACGCAACTGACGCAGCGCTAGCGCGCAATGGTGGATAGTCGGTCGCTCCAGCAATCACCATCGCGGGGCCGAGGAGGACGAGGCAGAGGGAGAGTAGTAGCTAGCGGAGCTGGAGGGGGACCGGAGAACGGCTTCCAGGCGGCTGGACAGCAGGCTTTAACAGCTCTAGAAGTGGCTAATGAAGAGGAGGAAAGAGGGGACCCTACTTATAGGGAGGAGCCGCTGCCTCTGAGCAAGAGTGACGAGGAAGAAAACGCAGAACGTTTGAGGCTAAGGCCTGAGAGGCAAGCTACTGGGGACGAGACGGGCGAGGCAGTAGGAAGGCAAGCAGCAGATCGGACAGTTACAATTCCAACCCCTGGGCAGAACGGAGCATCGAGGCGTTTATTGAGAAATCGTGTAGCGCGCAATGAAACTGCAACACCGAATCGCCCAGATTCCCCCCGCTACTTCTCGCCATAAGATTTGGCGAAACGAACAGACCTGTTCGCGGCCGTCGCTGATTGGGACGTGGCAGTACTGTGCGACAGTCGTCAGCCAACCCTGTCACGCCGATTGCCGCCCAATTTGTGCCAGCTGTTTTCACTGGTGTTACTCACCCCCCTCCTCCACCTCTCGCGAAATCCAGATTCTGTCGCAGTGTGGCGACTCCTCCTCTTTCTCCCGCAGCTCACACTTCGCCAGACATCGCCAAGACGACCAAAGTGGCCCGAAGTCAAAGCTCGACTCAGAGCTTTCCAGTGTGGCGAATGGGAGCAGCTGTATTCGGACGCAATCGAAGCCATCAACACCCCACCATCTCCACGTCACCAGCCTGACGAGGCGGGAGTACTCAGCAGGGCGGAGGGCCTGGCAAAGCGCGGAAGTCTACGCCAAGCCGTGCTGGCCCTCGAGTCAACGCCGGTCTGCACGTCAGGCCCTGAAATTTTGGAGGAACTTCGCGCGAAACACCCGCCATCCGACAACAGGGAGCTGACCTGGCCGACAACACCTGGCCCGAACCTCCAAATCAGTCAAGCTGATTTCGCCAAACTCTTGGGCCGATGCAAAAATGGTGTGGGGGCTGGACCGTCAGGAACCACATTTGAACACCTGCACGACGCATCCGCAACCAACGCATCGGTCTGCACCCACCATGCCCTAGTCAACACTCTGATGGCGGGCAAATTACCCGAGCCAGTAGCGGAGCTGCTGACAGCCTCGCGCCTAATCGCGCTGTCCAAACCGGGGAGGGGGAGGGAGGGGGGTTCGGCGAATGCCTGTTCGCGGCCGAGATACACCCGGCTCTCCGCGAAACTGCTGAGGAACATCCCGAGGTGCTCTACTTGGCGTATGCAGACGACGTCACATTTTTGGGTGACGAAGCAGACACTGTAGCAGCCTTCACGCTCTTCACCAGGAAGCTGGCACAACTGGGGCTTAAACACAACCCGCAGAAATGTGCTGCCTGGAGCACAAGCGGCGATGTGTCAACGCAGCTGCCTCCGAGGGTCCCGTTTTCGAAGGACGGGATACGCTTACTTGGTAGCTTCCTAGGGCCGGCCACTGGCGCCGCCAAATTCCTAGCGGGGCAACTAGATGAAATGGTGAAGCCGCTGCCACTTTTAGAACGAGCCGATCCCCAAGTAGCCTCCCTGCTGCTCACCCGCTGCATTTCTAGACGAGTAGCCTACCTCGCCAGAACTACACCGCTGAACCTCCTCCCACGTGATACCTGGGCACAGTGGGGAAGAGACCTCCTAGCCGCGCTCCTGACATCGTGCGGGATTAGAGTACCAACGTGTAGCGCTGAGCAGTCGAGGGTGTGGGCGCAAGCATCGCTACCATCATCCCTAGGCGGGCTGGGAATCACGGACCCACTCGTAGAAGGCGTCTACGATTTCGTAGCCAGCTTCACACAGGCGGTACTGTTCTTTTCCTCCCTCACGCTAGCACCAGACACCGCCCTGACACAAGCATACAGCCACATGATTCTTCCTCGTGATGTCAACACCCCGCTTCATTCCTGGCTCACGGAGTGCGAGACAGCCATGCCCACAGACACAAGTGAAATACTCGATAAGGAGAGGCTCTCACGCTCGGAAATTAAGCTCCAGCACACGCTAGCCCTCAAAATCCAGGGTAGTAGGTACGCGATGCAAGTCCAGGAAACGAGACGCATGAAGCTGAACCCGCTTTCCGGTCACACACAGAGGATGTTCTCACTCACAGGCTACGGCACAGGGGACTGGCTGACGGCGGTACCAGTAGCTACGTCACGGTGTATAGGCCCGGTACATTTCAGCAACGCCGTGCGTTTCCGGCTCGGTCTCCCATTCTCTACTCCGAAGAATTGCGATTGCGCAGACCACACAGCTATCACAGACCCGCGCCTCCCCAACCACCTCTTCCGCTGCGGCACGGGTAAACACCGTACGAATACCCACAACGAACTGCGTGACGCATGCATCAGCATGGCGCAAGACGCGGGGTTCATCGTTCACAGGGAATCCAACGTCTATTGCCCCATCGAGGAGCAGACAGCTGACTTTACCATGACGGACAGAAGTAGTGGGGCGGTGTGGGTGTGCGACGTGACTATCACGGACCCTGTTGTTGATTGTGTAGGTGGTTGTAGTATTTTGCTCTAGCTGGTTGTGGGCAAAGGGTTTGGGCAAAATGTGGTGGTTAGACTTGTTGCGGGCTGGAATTGAACTTGCACCCAACAAGCACCAACAAACCTTCGCTATCCACTACAACACCTTTGGTGTTGCTAGTTTGGCACTTTGGGTTGTTGGGGATTGTTGTGGGGCGAGGGTTGGGTTGGTAGGGTTTGACCAACTCGTCACTTTTAAGATCTGAACTCTTGCTGAAGCCATTCCTAGATCTAATCCATGGCTGCCAAGTAATTTCGCCAGGATACCCCGTCGCACTTAAATCGTGATAGCGATCGGCCTAGATCTTGGTTGACGGCGCGCTTTACCATTCTGGAAAGTAGAGATAAAGACCTTTCCAACGCGTACCACCTCATGTTTTAGGTTACGCGAGCTGCACGCAATGGTTCGCCGAAGTCGGCGGACTTAATCTCTTGTTACGCTCTCCAGATTAGCGCGCTTTCCATCACCTGTTAGTACAAGGGACCCAGAGGCACAGAAAGGCAGGGGATGGGCGGCCCAGGAGCAGGCGGACAAGAATATAAAGCACTACGCAAACCAGCCAGATACGGTGGGCTTCTTCCTGTTATAGTCACCGTAGGCCTCAATGTGCCTAAAACGAAAGGTAGAGTGCACAGTCGGATTTCTGCACAGGGGCTTCAAACATTCATAGCGATCTGGTCACAGCTCCAAATGCCCTCATTCAACTTGGATCTGGAGCGTCCTAATGTGCCCTACGATAGGCAATTTAGATCGCACAATTTCATTAAGAACTGACGACGCAACATCAGTTTGAACGAACGGCACTATGGCAGCAGCTTAGTCTTAGAACACACAATTGGAAGAGCTAGGAAGAGTTACGAGTTGGGAATGACTCCCAGCTCCTACAAACCCCAAGAGCCGAGGTACAGTGATGTGGAACAGTGCCACACTGTCCCCAACCAAGAAGGGTCTCGAAACTACCCTTCACAAGGGCCCTCCCCAAAGAGAATGTTACACTACACAAAGTAATGTAACTATCTTCACTATCTTGAGGTGTACCCTTTTCCGCGAGCTTCAAAATCACTCGAGGCTTGACACCAAGGCTCTGGTTCTTCATCACAAACTCATGCTTCAGTTCTTGATGGGTCTGCTGCACACACCTGCGACACGCCGAACGCTCGACATAGGACAATAGAAACCGCGCACGAGGCACACGACAAAATAGAAACCGCGCGCGAGACACAAATGACCGCATTAACATGCGGCTAGCGATAACTCGCTATTGACTCGACACACACATACTCGACATCAGGACCCATCATACACACACTATTATAAGCATGAAATATATATCTATTTCATGCACTCATACCATTCCATGCACATACGCATGCACGCACACGGACAACAAGCCGAGTGCAAACCGTAGGGTTGCACCAACACTTCCCACTCGCAGTGGAGACCTACGGCTGCCCTTGTGCCGAGGTTCCTGTGTTCCTGAAACTCCTTGCAGACACGGCAGCTCGGCGATACTTCAACGCCGACTCAAAATCATTTCATGCCGCGAAGTTTCTGCACCGGTTCAGGCAGAGGTGGTCGGTTGCACTACAGAGGGCAGAATCTGTGGGTTACCTGCTCAAACTAGGGGAGGCGGCTGCTGCAGAGAACCCGCGAGTAGGGGGGATAGGGCAGGAATTGTACGTGGGGGACTGTTTTACCGTCCTAGAGCCTCTTCTTGAGCTCTAGGTGACTTAGAGTGATTAGTTTGTTTAGGCTCCTTTGCATGTTAGTACTTTGCTGTTTTCCATTGCATGTGTGTACCCTCCTGGCTTATCAATATACGGACCATTAGAGAGAGAGAGAGAGAGAGAGAGAGAGAGAGAGAGAGAGAGAGAGAGAGAGAGAGAGAGAGAGAGAGAGAGAGAGAGAGAGAGAGAGATATCAAATCATTCTATGCTGCAAAGTTCCTACACCAGTTCAGGCAACGCTGGTCGGTGGCCCTTCAACGGGCCCAATCTGTGGGTCTCCTGCTCAAACTAGGGGAGGCTGCGGCAGTAGAGAACCCGCCTGTGGGGGGGATAGGGGACGAGTTGCACCTTGGGGACTGCTTTGCAGTCATTGAGCCCCTAGTGGAGTTGTAGAGAGGTCTTGTGGTACTTGTGCTTTGCTTGTTAGATTACCAATACCGCCGTGACCTGCATGTCTGTACTTTGCTGCTATATCAATACACGGACCATTAGAGAGAGAGAGAGAGAGAGAGAGAGAGAGAGAGAGAGAGAGAGAGAGAGAGAGAGAGAGAGAGAGAGACTCTTCTCACTGACAGGGTATGGCACGGGGGACTGGTTGACGGCCATCCCACTAGAACCGACCCGTCGCATCGGCCCTGTGCACTTCTCTAACGCAGTCCGATTCAGGCTCGGGCTACCCTTCTCTACACCTGCAAGGTGAAACTGCTCGAAGCGCGTAGAGATCAAGGACCCGCGGCTGCCAAACCACCTATTCCGCTGTGGCTTGGGCAAGCACAGGATTAATACCCACAACGAGCTGCGGGATGCATGTATAACAATGGCACAAGACGCGGGCTTCATAGTACACAGAGAGTCGGCCGCTTACTGCCCAATAGAGGAGCAGACCGCGGACTTCACCATGCTTGACAGGAGCTCGGGAGTAGTTTATGTGTGTGACGTTACAATCACGGACCCCATTAGCACCCGGGATCCCAACGCTACTAAGGGGAGGGGATGAGCAGCAAGGGAGCAGGCCAACAAGAAAATCAGCCACTATGCCAACCTCCCTGACACAGTCATCTTCATCCCCCTGGCGGTTGAGACATACGCCTGCCCCTGTGCCGAAGTCCCCACGTTTCTGAAATTGCTGGCGGATACAGCTGCTAGGCGTCACTTCAACGCCCTACCAACCTTCTACCATGCAGCTAGGTTCCTCCACCTCTTCAGGCAGCGATGGTCGGTGGCTCTCCAACGAGCCCAATCCGTGGGATACCTAATGAAGTCCTGCCAGGCGGCGGTAGCTGAGAACCCACCGGTGGGGGGAGTGCAGGCCGAGCTACACCTGGGGGATAGTTGTATGGTGCTGGAACCGCAAATGGAGGTGTAGAAAGGAACTCCGTGTAGTTATTTATTGGTTGCTTTCTTATTCCTAGTCATTGATCCATACTTTGCATGTTTGTACCTTTCCACTATATCAATGCACGGACCATTAGAGAGAGAGAGAGAGAGAGAGAGAGAGAGAGAGAGAGAGAGAGAGAGAGAGAGAGAGAGAGAGAGAGAGAGAGAGAGGACCCTAGCCTCTGCTCTCTTCCCTCTGCCCTCTTCCCAGGCTATATAAGAGGCCCTTTGGGGTCCCTCTTTCTCATTATTCGTGTGGTGGCTGCAATTTTTCGCTCGTTCGAGAGAGTGAGAGAGAGAGAGAGAGAGAGAGAGAGAGAGAGAGAGGACCCTAGCCTCTGCCCTCTTCCCACTGCCTCCTTAGCCTATATAAGAGGCCCTTTGGGGTCCCTCTTTCTCATTATTCGTGTGGTGGCTGCAATTTTTCACTCGCGTCGACCGCCTTCGGCGGCCGACGCTCGACAGCGCGGCCTTCGCCCGCGCGTTTGGGGCGACAAGGGAGACACGAGACAAGAGAATATAATCAGGAACATACACGCAATGGCTCCAGCTACAGCCGCATAGGACAACAAGCGGCAGCATCAACATGGGGCACGAAGGGGCGGATGCTACATCCGATCCGCCTGCAGGGCATGCAGAATGCCCGTCATCGTCTGCCACACCGAGCGGACCACCAGAATGGCGGCGCCAATCGCGTCGGCTCCGGAACCTGCCCGCAGGTACCTCCGTAAGTCCCGCACAGCCGCGTCCAGTTGCCCCACAGCCCCAACGCCTCCCCGCACGGGCGCGGCCAACACAGGCGCTAGGAGGAGGGCAATCTGGTCGGCCGCGTCAAGACAGTCGTCCCGCGGGCCGTCGAGCAGAGATTTCGCCGGAACAGGCGGAAGAGACCCGTGCGCCAGGGACTGCACAAGCAGGAGCGCACGGAGGCTCTCCGACAGCCTCCACAACTGGCCAAGAGTTGCCTCCGGAACTTCGGCCCGCGGGGGAAGGAGCTCCTCCGCCAGGGAGGGAAGCTGTAGCCGAGGAAGCCCAGCTCCACCACTGTGAGCAGGGGCTGCGGGAGCCGGCAGTGACACCGCCGGCGCTGGAGCAACCACGGGGCGAGCGACCGGAAGGGGAGCAGACGGCGTTGGAGCCACACGCCGCGAGCTGTACGGACTCGCTGGGCCGGCCTGACCGTCGCGAAATGCCTCATTCACAATCTGTCGCACGTCCGCGATTGTTGCTGGCGCGTCCAGCCACCCGCCACGCCCGCGACCGCGACCTCCCCTCCAACCACCCTGGTGCGCATGCCAGTTCGCCTGCGGCTGCCGCCGGCGAGGGGAATCCCGCCGTCGACGAGACACATCACGCTCATCTCGGGGGGAGGGCGAATGAGCACGTGAGTTACGCTGCTGCACCGCCGGAGGAAGGGCATGGGCAGACGAGGAAGCCGCGGGGAGCGGAGGGGCAGATTTCCCGCCCAGCGCATCTTGGGACGCAGCAGGAGACGCCACGGGTAGCGCCACAGGCGCAGGAGGAGGCCCCTCGCCAGACGCAGGTGCCACCCCAGCAACAGCCGCCGTCTCAGCAGGCGACGGCAACACCGGAACGTGAGGCGCGGGAGAGGGTGCCGCGCCTGGAGCAGGAAGATGCGCCACGTCAGCCGCAGGCGCCAGAACAAAGGCAGGTACAGGCGCCAGCGCCATCACGCGCGGTTGGGCGGCCACACACGCCGACTCTCGTCCAGAGTCGACTACCGTGGAGCACGCGTGAGCAGGAGAACCCGCGACAGACATTGCCGCAACAGGGGCAACCGGCGCTGACCGCACCGGCGAGGCAAGCGCAGCTGATGCCACGCCAAACGGCGGCGGCGAATACTGCACCGGGGAACCGCCGCCAACCGCCACAGGCATTACAAGGAGGCAGAGGCGACGGCAGCGAGCTGCGGGGCGTGGTCGAGGCCGGGAGAACGGCTTCCAACGGGCAGCGAGGCTAGCTTTAACAGAAGCGGATGTCAACAACGCGGCAGAGGATGAAGCAGAAGAGGCACAAGACCCCACCTTTATTGCCGAGCCAGCCGCAGTATCAACGACCGAAGGAAGTGGAGGGGATGAAGGTGAAGCTGCCCCAGGAGTTGAGAGTCGAGTGAATGTGGCAACAACCCCCCGAGCCGCATCTGCACAAATTGGAATTGGGGGGTAACCAAACCCAGACGCACCCCTCACTACCAGACCATCAACCCGCCAATTTTTGCCAGAGCAGCTGGCGAAGGACATGACCCGCTTCAATGAAATTCGCACCTGGGACCTGACACCTCTACGCGACAGCCGTCAGCCCCCCCTCTCCCGCAAAATTCCGCACGAAATCCGCACCAGTTTCGCTAACGCGCTGCTGACACCTCTGCTGCACCTCGCACGCCACCCTGACTCCGTACCGGGTTGGCGCCTGTTACTCTTTATTCCCCGCCTAATCCTTCGCCAGGCGAAACCAGGGAAGCCTGATTGGCCCGCAGTGAAGTTGCGACTTCGTCAGTTTTTCAAGGGCGAATGGGAACAGTTGTACGAGGCAGCCGTGGCAGCGGTCAACTCACCTCCAGCGCCACGTCACCAGCGGGACGAGTTGGGAAAGCGTGCCAGAGCAGAAGGACTAGTTCGAAAGGGCAGCCTCCGGCGGGCTATCCTGGCCCTCGAATCTACACCCGTGGCAGATCCAACGCCTGAGGTACTGGAGTCACTTAAATCCAAGCACCCACCCGCACCACCAGGACAGATTGACTGGACACCAACGGACGAGGCCCACGTGGTGACCATCACCTCAGCTGCATTCGCGAAAATTCTGTGCCGCTGCGAAAACGGAGTGGGGGGAGGGCCGTCAGGGATGACGTTCGAACACCTCAGGGATGCAGCTATCGCCAACGCAGCCGTTACCACCCACCTCCACGCTCTCGTTAGCACAATCCTCCGAGGGAAACTCCCCGAAGAGGTGTGCTCCTTGCTCACATCCTCCCGCCTCATCGCTCTCGCCAAGCCAGAGGGAGGGACTCGGCCCATAGCTGTAGGAGAATGTGTCCTACGCCTCGCGGCCAAATCGGCACTTTCCTCACTGGCAGAAGCCGCACGAGCACATTTCCTCCCACTCCAGTACTGCGTCGCCGTCCAGGGAGGTAGCGAGGCGATAATCCACGCCGCACGATCATACATGAGCACACACAGTGACGCCACGATTCTCCAGGCGGATCTCTCAAACGCATTTAATAGCATCAGTCGCGACGCAATCGTAGCGGGCCTACGTGGAAGTACGCTAGAAGGGATCCTCCCCCTCGTCCACTCCTCTTACGGCGCGTCGTCAGAGTTATTTCTCGACGCCGGCTTTAATAGCCCTCCCATATCCAGCATTACAGGGGTCCGCCAGGGCGACCCCCTCGGGCCTTTGCTCTTCGCCGCGAGCATCCACCCGTCCCTCGCCGCGACCGCAGCCGCCTTCCCGACCGTGCTCTGCCTCGCATTCGCCGACGATGTCACGTTCCTGGGCAAAGTGGCGGAGTGTACAGCGGCGTTCACCCACTTCACGGGCAGCCTCCGTAGCATGGGGCTCAGGCACAACGCCGGGAAATGTGCGGCGTGGAGCGCTGTTCGACCACCGGAGGGGGCCTTGCCGGAAGGGGTCCCATTCTGCCACGACGGACTGCGCGTTCTGGGCAGCTTCATCGGCGCGCCAGACGGAGCAGCGGCATTTATTCGGGCTCAGCTGCAAGCCATGACAACCCCACTCCCGCAGATAGCCGACCTGGAACCACAGGCAGCATCACTACTGCTGACGAGGCGGATGTCATACCTCGCGCGCACAACCCCACTCACCCTTCTGCCCGAAGAGGAATGGTCACGGTGGGGCCAGAAGCTGCTCCACACACTGCTCGACGCCTGCGGCGTGCGCCACCCAAGGGGGGATGCGGAGGAACAACGCGTGTGGGACCAGGCTTCCCTCCCCCCGAGCCTGGGAGGTTTGGGGCTGGCAGATCCATCGGTAGAAGGGCGCTACAGCTACCTGGCGAGTTTTGTCCAGGCGCACGGACTGCTAGCCTCCCTGCCCGGCCCCGCTGGAACTCACCTCTCCACCGCCCTGAACCGGACAGAGGAGGTGGACCCGGACCCCAACCAGCTGCAAACCTGGCTTGGGGAGTGCAAGGCAAGCCTCACACAGGAGGGACGTGACCTGCTGGCGGCAGAAATGGCTGCACCCAAGGGACAGCTGCAGCACCGCCTTGCCCTCTTAGTCCAGGGCGGACGAAGTGCCGCTCAAGTTGCAGCGTCACGGCATATGGAGCTGAACCCACTATGCGGCCACACCCAGCGGCTATTGTCTCTCACAGGCTACGGTGCGGGGGACTGGCTGATAGCCATCCCCTACATGCCCTCCCTCCGCCTCGATCCTGACCACTTCTCATTCGCCCTCCAGTTCCGCCTAGGACTGCCTCTCCCCGTCCCTGACAACTGCGACTGCACCAAGAGAGTCGCCATAGCAGACAAGCGCCTCCCCAACCACCTCCTCCGCTGCGGCACAGGGCACGGACAGACCAACACACACAACGAGCTGAGGGACGAGTGTGTGCGTATGGCCCAGGACGCGGGGTTCATAGTGCACAAGGAGAGCACGGCGTTTAGCCCGGTCGACAACAAGAAGGCCGACCTGGCCATTCGGGACAGAAGCAGTGGGGCGGTGTGGCTGGGCGACATAACCATCACCGACCCTATCAGCAAACGGGACGAGACTGCCAGGAAGGGACGGGGATGGGCAGCAAGGGAGGCAGCAGATAAAAAAATCGGGCTATACCACGGCAGGGCTGAATTTGCAGGCTTTTACCCGCTGGCAGTCGAGACCTATGGCTGCCCGTGCGATGAGGTGCAGGCTTTCCTGAAGCACCTGGCGGACAGAGCAGCACGCTTACACTTCAACGCGGACCCCTCAAGCTTCCAGGCCGCAAAGCTCCGCCAGCGGTGGTCTGTCGCCTTGCAAAGGGCACAGGCAGTGAGCTTCCTTATCAAGATGAACCTGGCAGCCCAGAAGGAGAACCCAGCCTTAGGAGGCCCTGAGGGGGTCCTAGACCCGGGGGAATGCTTTGCTACCCTAGAACCGGGCAATGGTAGCGAGTAGAAGACTTGGGGGGGGGGGGGGAGGGGAAAGGGGTAGGAAGGAGACTAGTTAGACATACCTGTTTGCTTGCTTGCTTGCCTTTGCTGTTTTCTCTTTTCTATATCAATAGAAAGGACCGTTCGAGAGAGAGAGAGAGAGAGAGAGAGAGAGAGAGAGAGAGAGAGAGAGAGAGAGAGAGAGAGAGAGAGAGAGAGAGAGAGAGAGAGAGGGCCTTGGGTTCTGGTCCTTAGCCGTTTTTAGACTAGTTCCCTAGTATATAAGGCCTAGGTGACCCTTTTCCTCCTCATTATTCACTGGTGAGCTCATTCTGCTCTCCAAAAAATCGGCGGCTTTCGTTCGAGAGAGAGCGAGAGAGAGAGAGAGAGAGAGAGGAATAGCCTCTGCCCTCTGCCCTTAGCCTCTGCCCTTGCCTCTCAGCCCTATTTAAGGCCGTGCTAAGGCCCTTCTCTTCATTGTTAGTTTGGCGGCCGGCAAGTGCAGGCATACACAGTGGTTCATAATCAAAAGCAGTACAAGCATGGCATTCCCTACGTCAGCCTAGACAAGCAAGGCGCCAATGGGGCAACCGGAGCCCGCGCCTACATGCGGTGAGCTCCAAGGGCGTGAAGAACGCCCGTCAGGGAGCGCCACAGCTCCCAGACCACAAGCGTGCTTGCGCCGATCGCCGCGGCTCCAGATCCTGCGCGCAAGTGCCGCCTCAAGCCCCGGACAGCCTCGTCGAGCTGTCCCGCAGCAGCAGCGCCACCCTCCGCGGGCGCAGCCAACACGGGCGCCAGCAGCACCGCGAGCTGGTCCGCCGCGTCCAGGCAAGAGTCACGCTGGCGGCCACGGAAGGTCTCGGGAGGGATCACAGGGAGAGACGAGTGGGCCAGCACCTGAATCAGCAGCAGCGCGTGGAGACTGTCAGCGAGGCGGTGGAGCTGTCCGAGAGTCGCCTCGGGAACACGGGTCTGCGGAGGCTGGAGTGCCTCCGCCAAGAACTGGAGAGGCTCATGAGCATCAGCTGGGAGAGCAAACGGAGCCGCCAACGAGGCACCACCCGCGGCCAGAAACTCCACTCCCGCTACGGGCGGAACCGGCGGCAGAGATAGACGAGAGCCGGGAGCAGGCGCCGATACAGCGGGAGAAGGAGCTGGCAGCGCCAGGATCTGAGGAGGAGGCGCAGCAACAGGCAGCGAGTTCGGGGGGAGCGCAGCCGGACGAGGAGCCTCGTGGGCCGACGACGCGCGCAGCGAACTGGTCTGGCTATGCGCCACCCTCTCCTCCCGAACCGCCCTTGAAACTTCCCGCTGAAGATCCGCCATCGTCACGGGCGGGCGATACCCCCCACCCCCGCCACGAGCACGGGGACCCCTCCAATCCCCCTGACCCCCGTGGTGAGCAGGCTAGTGTGGCTGTTGCTGGTACCGCCGTGGAGACTCACGCTGGCGACGAGACGATTTGCGTTCCTGTTGGGGAGCGGGGGAATGGGGGCGCGACGAGCGACGGTCAGGTGATGGAGGGCGCGACGGGTGGCCTGCCGGAGCCACCGCCGTCACAGCAGGGGCGGACTGACCCGCTGCGGGCGCAACCGACGGAGCCGGTTCGTCAGTGGTGGCGGACGCCGCCTTTGGTGACGAAGCAGAGGCAGGCGCAGGCAAGCAGGGGACAGAAGCGGTCGGCGCAACAGGGGCACCAGGGACAGGTACAGGGGGCTCAGCAACACCCCCAGCAGGGGCAGACGCCGACGGCTCGACAAGGGGAGCCGGTGGGCCAGGTGCCGCAGGCGGAGCAGACGGAACAGCAGCTGGAGCGGACGGGCCAGTCTCTGACCCGGCAAGGGGATCCGCGGGTGCGTGGGGAGGAGTCTTTTCAACGACTGCTGTCACGGGTGTCGGAGCCGGCGGTAGAGGGGGCTTCATCGCCATGGTCGCCCTTCCGGGCTCCGCCGGAGGCTTGGCAACCACAGCCGACCAGGCGGCAACGGGCTCTGGCGACGGCTCAGATGAACCGGCGATCACCATCGCAAGAGCGGGAAGGCCGCGGGGCTAGAAGACAACCTGTAAGCGGGACAGGCGGAGGACCGGAGAACGGGTATCAGGCAGCGGCAAGAACAGCTTTAACTAACTTGGAAGCGAATGCTGAGGACGACGAGCTTAACGACGCTACATATAGGGAGGAAGCCCTCCCTGAGAGCGAGGACGAAGAAACGGAAGAGGAAAGCAGTGCGAGGGAGAGACCAGGGAGAAGAGAGGCAGCGGTGGAGCAGACTTCTTTGCAAGTACCACAGATGGCTCGAGCACCGTCCGATGTCGATCGGACGACTACAATTCCAACATTGAGCCCACCAGTAAGGCCGAGCCGCGCTGGACGAAATCGAAACACCGCTGCGGGTGGTGCGACACGCCCTTCACCACCAATTCCCCGCTACTTTTCACCAGACGAACTAGCGGAGCGGACAGACCTGTTCGCTGCCATCGTGACTTGGGACACCGCAACTCTTTGCGACAGTCGTCAGCCCTCACTGTAGAGGCGTTTACTGCCCAATTTGTGCCAACTGTTTTCGCTAGCACTCCTGACACCGTTACTGCACCTATTGCGAAACCCCGAGTCTGAAACGGCCTGGCGCCTGCTGCTGTTTCTCCCGCGTCTGACACTTCGCCAGACCTCGCCGCAGCGACCGAACTGGCCACGTGTGAAAGCCCGGCTCCGGGCTTTCCAGCGTGGCGAATGGGAGCAGCTGTACCAGGACGCGTTGGACGCAGTCAACTCACCTCCACCGCCAAAACACCAACCTGACACGACCGGAGTCATCAGTCGCGCGGAGGGCCTAGCGAAACGTGGCAGTCTGCGTCGGGCCGTGCTGGCCCTGGAGTCAACGCCAGTTTGCACTCCCAGCCCGGAAATTTTGGAAGAGCTGCGACAGAAGCACCCTCGTGCTGAACACGAGGCGGTGACATGGCCCATGCCGCAGGGGTCAAAGCTGTCAATCCCCTACCCCGACTTCGCCAAAATCCTGGGAAGATGCAAAAATGGGGTGGGAGCCGGACCGCCAGGCATGACATTCGAGCACATACGCGACGCGGCAATTACCAATGCAATGGTCAGCACCCATCTGCACGCCTTGGTTAACACCATGCTAGGTGGAGAATTACCAGGCTCGGTCGCGAACCTACTGACTGCGTCACGACTCATAGCCCTCGCCAAGCCGGGAGGAGGAGCAAGGCCAATCGCGATTGGCGAATGCCTGACGAGGCTGGCAGCCAAGGCTGCCCTACAGGCCATGGGAGAGGCGGCCCGCGAATTTTTTCTACCTCTACAATTCGGGGTGGCAGTGCCAGGTGGTGCAGAGGCCGTAATCCACGCAGCCAGGGCATACTTGGATGCCCGCCCGGATAGCCTGATCCTGCAGGCAGATATTTCGAACGCGTTCAACTGCATTTCGCGTGAAGCCATCGCCACTGCGCTACAGGAGCCCGCCCTCTCGCCATTGCTGCCGCTAGTGAAATTCACGTACGGTAACCCGTCGCAACTGCTCCTGGACACCAACTTCAACTCCGAACCACTGACAAGTGAACGAGGCGTTCGCCAGGGTGACCCCCTTGGCCCACTTCTGTTTGCAGCAGGAATACACACCACCCTCCTCAAAGTTGCAGAAGCACACCCCGACGTGCTTTGCTTGGCATATGCGAACGACGTCACCTTTCTGGGTGACACAGTCCACACTGTAGCGGCTTTCAACACTTTCACTGACAAGCTGGCACCGCTGGGCCTTACGCACAATCCGCAGAAGTGCGCAGCCTGGCGATCAAGTGCAGTTGAGGCCGCTCAACTCCCGCATGGAGTGCCGCTTTCAAAGGACGGCGTGAGGCTCTTGGGTAGTTTCCTGGGGCCGGATAGTGGAGCAGCTAAGTATCTAGCGGGTCAACTCGACGAGATGGCGAAGCCGTTACCCCTTCTTGAACAAACCGACCCCCAAGTAGCGGCACTGCTCATCACGCGATGTATCTCTCGTCGGGTAGCTTACCTCACTAGGACGACGCCCTTACATTTTCTCCCCCGCGAAAAATGGAGCCAGTGGGGAAGGGACCTCCTCACCGCCCTGCTCACATCATGCGACATACGCGTCCCCACGTGTAGGACTGAGCAAGCGCGAGTCTGGGACCAAGCGTCGCTGCCGCCATCGCTGGGAGGCATAGGCATCACTGACCCCCTGATAGAGGGGATATACGGTTTCTCGGCGAGTTTCACACAGGCGGCGCTGCTTCTCTCCTCCCTCACGCTAGACCCACGAAACGCACTGGCACTAGCGCAGAATCACATGCTACTGCCGCGGGACACCGACACGCCCTTACACACGTGGCTCACAGAGTGCGAGACGGCCCTGCCCCTAGATGCGCGAGAGATCCTGGAGAAGGAGCGGCTCGAACGGTCTGACGTGAGGCTCCAACACGTGCTCGGTCTTAAGGTCCACGGAAGCAGATACGCCGTGCAGGTCCAGGCTTCAAGGCGTATGCAGTCGAATCCGCTCAAGGGTCATACGCAGCGGATGTTCTCTTTGACGGGTTGCGGCACCGGCGACTGGCTCACTGCAATCCCCATTGAACCCGCACGGCGGATAGGTCCAGTACACTACGCCAATGCCGTACGTTTCCGACTGGGGCTGCCGTTTTCAACCCCAAAGAACTGTGACTGCGCCGACCACACGGCTATCACTGACCCCCGCCTCCCGAATCACCTACTCCGCTGCGGCACAGGCAAACAACGCATCAACACACACAACGAACTGCGGGATGCCTGCGTTAGCATGGTGCAAGACGCCGGGTTTATAGTTCACAGAGAGTCGGCCGCATACTGCCCTGTCGAGGAACAGACGGCCGACTTCAGTATGACGGACAGAAGCAGTGGGGCGGTTTATATCTGTGACGTCACCGTCACGGATCCCATCAGCACCAGGGATCCCGAGGCACAAAAGGGCAGAGGGTGGGCGGCCAGGGAGCAAGCTGATAAAAAGATTAAGCACTACGCCAGCCGCCCTGAGACGGTTGGCTTTTTCCCGCTAGCCGTAGACACCTACGGCTGCCCATGCGCAGAGGTACCCACCTTCCTCAAACTCCTAGCGGACACGGCGGCTCGGCGACACTTCAACGCCGACTCCAAATCATTCTACGCCGCCAAGTTCCTACACCAGTTCCGTCAGAGATGGTCGGTAGCTCTTCAGAGGGCCCAGTCCGTGGGGCTCCTACTTCAGCTGGGTGAGGCGGCGGCGGCAGAAAACCCTCCGGTTGGAGGCATAGGGCAGGAGATGCACCTTGGGGAGTTCTTCGCGGTGGTTGAGCCTTTTCTGGAGCTCTAGAGAGGATGGTGGTGTGTTAGTGGTGTGGCATGTTTGCTTTGTTTGTTCGGTTGTCAATTTGGCTAGCTAGACCTTGCACTATACCCTGCATGTTTGTACTTTCAACCTATATCAATACACGGACCATTAGAGAGAGAGAGAGAGAGAGAGAGAGAGAGAGAGAGATAGAGAGAGAGAGAGAGAGAGAGAGAGAGAGAGAGAGAGAGAGAGAGAGAGAGAGAGAGAGAGAGAGAGAGAGAGGGCCTTGGGTTCTGGTCCTTAGCCGTTTTTAGCCTAGTTTCTTAGCCTAGTCTAGTCCTTAGCCGTTTTTAGACTAGTTCCCTAGTATATAAGGCCTAGGTGACCCCTTTCCTCCTCATTATTCACTGGTGAGCTCACTCTGCTCTCCAAAAAATCGGCGGGTCGCGCCGGCCGCCTTCGGCGGCCGACGCTCGACAGCGCGGCCTTCGGCCGCGCGTGAGGTGTGACAAGGACATCAAGGGGAAAACACTATAAAGGCACGGATTACACCATGCAGTGGTAACTGCCTAACACACCTACAGGCAAGGTAAGTCCCCAGCAATGGGGAGGAAAAAATAACAAACAAAGGCGGCAGCGGGTACAACAACGCCTACGGGGAGGGAGCAATCAGGAACATCCGCCGATCCATCCAGCGGAGCGCAACCGCGAGGGCGGGTACTATCTCAAGGGGCGCCTCCTCGGCGGCCATGGCTACCCTGCGGAAAGCAGTCGCTCCAGGCCCTTCATTCAGCGACGGGTCTTCAGGCTCAAGGGGCAGGCACAGCATCGTCGACATCGCCTGAGCAGCGGCCTCCCTCACCAACCCCTGCTCGAACTCGCTCAGCTGCGGGTTCCGTGAGGCAAGGTTCCGCCGCCCAATCGCATGGTTCAGCTGCTCCAACACCGTCACCACGTTCGACAAACAACGCCCTACACCGCGCATCCGCTGCTCCCACCGGCAAAGGTCAAAGTAGCTCGGCTCCTCTCCCCACTGCCGGCCCCACACGTCCAGGTCCGGCTGCACGCCCCAAGGTGGGTAAGGCTCCCAGTGAGGGTCGGGATCAGGAGCGGTTGGTGGACGCTCAGGCGAATCCCATCCACGCGGGTAAGGGCGACGGGGAGGGGGGAACCGGAAGGCAGTCTGCGGGACGGTTGGCACGAGGGGATGCTGACGCCGAGGTTGCTGCCACGGGGGTGGCGCCGGCGGAGCAGGGTCTTCAACAAGCGTCTGAGGAGGAGCGACGGGAAGCGCAACTGGTACAGGATGCGCCGTCTGGGGCGGCGCGGACTCGATCGGCGGCGGCAGCGGCGGCGCTGGGGTCTCCGCCGGTGCCGGCGTTGACGGCTGCGGCAGCGAGGGCACAGGCGCGGAGGCAGTTGACTGCGCCAACGGCTGAAGGGCCGTCCCCGACGCTGACGAAGTCTGCTGCAGCGACGTCACAGACTGGGACATTGGGGGCGGGAGCTGTAGTGGCTGGGACTGCGCAGCCTGGTTTGGAGGGGACTGACCCAGTGGTCGGACCGCCGGCGGCCCATACTGGCGCTGGGGACGAGGAGGGCGGCGGCGGCGGAAGGATTGCCCGCGAGGCCGTAGTTGGGGAGGTGCTCGTCCCCGAGAAAACCGGAACATCGGCTGGCGAGGAGCCGGTGAGGGAGGAGGAGGCTGGACCACAGTGCCGCCAACCCCGGCCGCAACTACATCCGCGGCGGCTCGGAGCAGGGCTGGGACTTGCCCGCCCTGGACCCCTTGCGGGATGGGAGAGGCAAGAGGACTTGCCGGACGGTCCGGCTGCGGAGGAGGTCGCCGCTTGCCTGTCATCCGGCCGGCCGATGAACGTGGCGGAGCAAACCCGTGAGGAGGATGCAGACTTGGCGGAGGGAGCGGACCACGAGGAGGAAGTGCTACGCCGTGCGGAGGCAGAACGCAGGCGGAGGACTGGAACGAGCCGCCAGCGAGCACTGCAGGACCAGGCCGACGATCGCGCGGCAGGCCTACAGCCGTCAAACGCGGTGCCGAGGGCGGCGGGTAGAGGCAGGGGGAGAGGGCGGACCAGGGGGAGAGGCAGCCGAGATCTGGCGGGAGCTATGGCGAGGGAGAAAGCCAGATCTGGTTTCTGGCGGGAACGACATGGGAGGCCAGAGGAACAGGGTGAGGAGCCAATGAATGAAGAAGATGGGGAGGAAGGGTCAGACTATATGGCATCACAGGAGGCGGAATCAGAAGATGCCTCGCTGGAGGCCGAACGGGGGGTGCCCATCCCAGCCACAGAGAGGGGACAGGGGTCTGGACAGGGACGGAGGGAGGGAGGTGCTGACGTGGGGGAATCCGCACCGCAGCAGCCCAACGAGGCTGCCAGCAAGGAACGTAATCCCACCATCATCGTGGATGATGAGGCCACATGGCAGAGAGTTCATGCATGGGATTTGGGACCTCTGCAATCCAGCGCACAACCCTTCCTCGTCCGGAAACTTCCGCCGGAAATCCTTAAAACCTACAGCCACTGCCTCACGCTCCCACTCCTCCGGTTGGCAAAGTTTCCGAGCTGCCCGGCAACATGGCGGATCCTACAGTTTCTACCGAGGCTGACACTTAGGGCGAGCCTGGAGAAAACCCCTGGGAAGAGGTGGGCGGGAGTGGAGAAGCGTCTGCTGCAATTTCGCGAGGAGGATTGGGACTCACTGTATACGCAGGCTAGCGCCTTCCCGGCAAACTCCAAACCCAGCAGGCACGAGCCGGACCCAGAGGGCATCTGTGCCAGGGCAGAGGGGTTGGTTCGGAAAGCAAACTTGGCGAAAGCAGTGGCAGCGTTACGAACTACACCGCTGGCGGAAACGTCGCACGCGACACTGGAGTCACTTTGCTCAAATCACCGAAGGGCAGACTCGGCGATACCAGAGGGAACGGAAGGTTACACCACCTCTGCGCTCGCGATCGGGGCGGATTCTTTTCGTGAAGTCCTGGCGAAATGCCCGAACGGAATTGGGGCTGGCCCATCCGGCACGTGTTTCGAGCATCTCTGTGACACAGCTCTAACAAATGGGGTAGTCTTCACGCTGCTCCTCAAGACTGTGAACCACCTGCTTAGCACGTACCAGAACGAGCAGCTCCAGGACCTCCTGCTCCCCGCCAGATTGATAGCACCGGAGAAACCAGACGGCGGCGTGAGGCCCATAGCCATAGGCGAGGCAATCCTACGCATCACGACCAAGGCCGCGCTCAGGGAATTGTCCGCGGAAACCCGCGCCTATTTTCTACCCGTGCAGTTCGGCGTGGCCGTCCCGGGGGGGGCAGAATGTGTGATTCACACCACGCGCACACTCCTCGCGGAGGACCCGTCTCGGATCGCCATTCAGCTGGACATAGAGAACGCGTTCAACTCAGTTGAGCGCGGCTGCTTCATCGAGTCGCTTCAATGGACGAGCCTCGTCAAGCTCCTCCCCTTCGTACGCACCCTCTACGGCAAACCGTCGAAGCTCCTCCTCGACAGTGGGTTCACAGCGACATCAATCGACAGCGCGCGCGGGGTACGACAGGGGGACCCGCTCGGACCTATGCTCTTTGCCGCGGCGATTCAGCCGGCCCTACTCACGACGGCGGTAGCAGTTCCCACCGTCACCATGATGGCTTATGCCGACGACATCACGGTCATCGGCGATCCGGCGGGGGCAACACGGGCGGTGAACATGCTACGCAACAAACTAATGGATTTGGGACTGCGGTGCAACCTGGCCAAGTCCACGGCGTGGAGCCCATCGGGGGGCACAGACGACTTACCGGAAGGACTGGTAGCGGCAGTAGACGGTATGAAGGTCTTGGGTAGCCCGATCGGCACGCTGGCGTATAGCAGACGGGTGGTGAGGGCGACACTAGAGACCACGGCGGCACCGCTTGGCCTCATCGGCAAGCTCCACCCCCAACACGCACTGCTGCTGCTGACACGGTGCATTTCCCGTAGGGTCTCCTACCTGCTGCGAACCACACCAGCGGATGTGCTCCCACGGAGGGAATGGAGGGAGTGGAGCGAGAAGCTACTATGGACGGCGCTCAAAGCTGCACACCTACACACGCCGGCTAAGGAGATAGAGCAGAGCCTCGTGTGGAGGCAGGCGTCGTTGCCGATCGCCCTGGGGGGGCTCGGCTTGGTTGACCCACTCTCGGAGGCACCTGCAGCATTCCTGGCTTCGTTGAGCGCGGCGCAGGCTTTGCTGCTGCAAGGAGCCATCACGAAGGACCACCCCCCTGCAGCGAGTGGCGGCGCTGTTGTCGCCGCACGAGGAGGGGGGCGTGAGTGGGGGGAGAACAACCCTTCAGGACCTGCGGAACAGACTTCCCGAATCGGCGCGGGGAATCCTAAGGGAGGCCGGCCAGAGGAGGGAGAGGAAGGGCCACCTGCAGGAGAGACTGTCCAAGCAAGTGAACCTGGACAGGGCAGCGGAGCTGGTGGGCGACACGCGGATTGACAAGCCGGGGGTGGACAACGGCCACGTAGTCCGCCTGATTGCTCTGCAGGGGACGGGGGCAGGAGACTGGCTGCACGCAATCCCCACGCGCGCGGATCTGACCTTCTCCCCCGGCCAGTTTGCCATTGCCCTCGGCTTCCGGCTGGGGCTGGCCCTGGCGGTGACAGAGCAGTGCCCCTGCGGCAAGCCACGGTAAAAAATCGAAGACCGTAGCCTACCCAACCATCTGCTGCGGTGCGCGGAGGGGAAGGACAGGACTAACACGCACAACAGCTTGGTATACGCTGCCCTACGGATGGCCAGGGAGGCCGACTACATGACCATCCACGAGACCTGCGCCTACTCGCAAATAGTCAACCCTAAGCGAGCGGACCTGGTCCTCGTGGACAGGGAGTCGGCCGAGACCTTCGTGACTGACGTCACCATAACCGACCCCGTCCTGCAGCGTAGAGACACCCGGGCTGTGAAGCGTCCTGGCTGGGCAGCAGAGGATGCGGCAAGGACGAAGAGAGGGCTGTACGAGGGGTGCCCAGAGTTCGTGAGGGTGTTCGGGCTGGCGGTAGAAACTTATGGGGCTTTGGCACAAGACACCCAGCGGTTCCTACGCCTCCTAGGCACCCAGGCGGCCAAGAAGAAGCACAGGCAGGGGAGGCTGACCACGGTCGCCTCCAAGCTCACAGCACACTACCGACAGCGCTGGTCGGTGATGCTCCAGCGCGGCCAGGCCAATACACTGCTGGCAAAGTCCAACAGGGCAACTGAGCGTGCATACCCCCAGGCCCCAGTCGACCCGTGGGAGCCACGCCTTGGGGACCTTTGGCAGGTCCTTGAGGACGAGCTGGACTGGGGGCCGGACCTGGATGGGTGAGGAGGCTAGAGTAGAGGAGCGGTTGGAGGTGAGAGGACACGAAGAGGTGGTCCAGGGGGCTAGGCACTAGGTAGGCAGCTCTGAGCAGCAGGCTGGACACAGGAGTATGTGGTGGTGGTTGTTGTTGGTGTCACTTGTTTGTCAGCTGGTTTGCATGCCTAGACTGCATGTTAGGCCCTGCTGATTCCTATGTGCCTTGCCTGTACCCGGCTTATTATCAATGAAGGACCGCTTGAGAGAGAGAGAGAGAGAGAGAGAGAGAGAGAGAGAGAGAGAGAGAGATAGAGAGAGAGAGAGAGAGAGAGAGAGAGAGAGAGAGAGAGAGAGAGAGAGGCACCTTGAATCTGCCCTCTCCCTTAGCCCTCTGCCCTCTCTGTTCCTTAGTATAAGAGGCCCCTCTTGGCCTCTTGTCTCTCGTGGTTCAGTGGTGTGGCTGATTTTTTCGCACGTTCGAGAGAGCGAGAGAGAGAGAGAGAGGACTCTAGCCTCTGCCCTCTGCCCTCTGCCCTCAGACCTCTGCCCTTGGCTTTCTAGCTATATAAGGGGCCTTCTTGGCCTCTCTTCATCATTGTGTGGCGGCAGTAAATTTTTCGCACACGTCGCCCGGGTATCCTGGTTGACCAGGAAACTAGCGACCCCCGCGGCCCCCTGTCGTCCCCCGCGGCCCCCGCGGCTCCCCCACGGTCCCGCGGTCCCGCGGCCCCCGGTCGTCCCTCGCGGCCACCGCGGTTCCGCGGTTCTCTCCCGCGGCCTCTCGAGGCCCCGCGGTCTCCCGCGGCCTCCCGCGGCCTCCCGCGGCCTCCCGCGGCCTCCCGCGGCCCCGCGGTCTCCCGCGGCCTCCCGCGGCCTCCCGCGGCCCCGCGGTCTCCCGCGGCCTCCCGCGGCCTCCCGCGGCCTCCCGCGGCCCCGCGGTCTCCTGAGGTCGGCTGACACTACTCCCGTTGACAGGCTGAACCACCGCCGAGGGAGCCACAAACTGGGCCGGGCCGCCAGTGGTGGCGGACGTCGCCTACGGTGACGTCATAGATGCCGGAGCAGTCGCGTCGGGGACAGCAGCGAGCGGGGCCACGGATACGCCAGGGGCAGGGGGATCAGCAGCAGCCCCAGCAGTGACAGACGCCGGCGTCCCAACAAGGGGAGCCAGGGGAGCCAGGGGAGCAGGATCCGCAACAGGAGCGGATGGGGCAGGAATTTGGGCAGGCGGGCCAGACTCCGCCACGGCAGATTGATCCGCGGGTGCGAGGGGAAGAGTCCTTTCAGAGGTTGTTGTCACGGGCTTCGGAACCGGCGGTAAGGGGGACTTCGTCGCCATGGTCCCCTTTTCGGGGTCCGACTGGGGCTTGGCGACCACAGCCGACCAGGCGGCAACGCGCTCTGGCGACGGCACAGGAGCGCCAGCAATCACCATCTTCGGGACGCGGAGGTCGCGGGGCTAGGAGGCAGGCTGGTAGCGGGACGAGCGGAAGACCCGAAAACGGGTACCAGGCAGCGGCACGGAGGGCTTTAAACGCTCTGGAGGCAACTAATGACGAGGAAGAATTAAGGGACAATTCTTATAGAGAAGAGTCCCTCCCCTCGAGCGAGGATGAGGAGCCTGAGGATGGAGGTGGGACGAGGGAATCTTCTGGGGGAAGGGCAGCGGAGATAGAGCACCCAGGAATGCAAACACCACAAGGGGCTCACAAGCCGTCCGATGCGGATCGAACGGCTGAAATTCCAACATCGAACTCCCCCGTGACGACAAGCCGCGCTCGACAAAATCGAGCCGCTCCAGGCGAGGCCGTGGCGCGCCCTTCTGCACCAAATCCCCGCTATTTTTCGCCCGACGAGTTAGCGAGGCGTATGGATCTGTTCGCTGACATCGTGAATTGGGACATCGCGGCACTAAGCGACAGTCGTCAGCCTTCGTTGTCGCGGCGTTTACCGCCAAACCTGTGCCAGTTGTTCTCGCTGGTGGTGCTGACACCGTTACTACACTTGTCGCGAAACCCCTAATCCGAGTCGGGTTGGCGCCTGCTGCTGTTTCTCCCGCGCCTAACACTTCGCCAAACCTCGCCGCAGCGACCAAACTGGCCGGGGGTTAAGGCTCGGCTTCGAGCCTTCCAACGTGGCGAATGGGAACAGCTGTACAGGGACGCGGTGGATGCAGTCAACATTCCACCACCGCCACGACACCAGCCTGATGCGACAGGAGTTATCAGCCGTGCGGAAGGTCTGGCGAAACATGGCAGTCTGCGCCGAGCCGTGCTGGCCCTGGAGTCAACGCCCATCTGCACTCCCGGCCCGGAAATCTTGGAAGAGCTGCGCCTAAAGCATCCACCTGCCGCACACGAGGCAGCGACATGGCCCATGCCACGGGGGTCAAAGCTGTCAATTCCCCACCCTGACTTCGCCAAAATGTTGGGAAGATGCGAGAATGGAGTGGGAGCCGGACCGTCGGGCATGACATTCGAGCACCTGCGCGACGTGGCGATTACCAACGCAATGGTCAGCACCCATCTGCACGCCTTGGTAAACACCATCTTGGGGGGAAGTTTGCCAGGCTCGGTCGCAAACCTTCTGGCTGCGTCACGCCTCATAGCCTTGGACAAGCCTGGGGGAGGAGCTAGGCCAATCACGATTGGCGAATGTTTGACCAGGCTGGCAGCCAAGGCTGCCCTGTCAGCCATGGGAGATGCTGCCCGCGAGTTTTTTCTACCACTACAGTACGGGGTGGCAGTGCTAGGTGGAGCAGAGGCAGTAATCCACGCAGCCAGGGCATTCTTGGATGCCCGCCCCAACAGCCTGGTCCCGCAGGCCGACATTTCGAACGCGTTCAACAGCATCTCGCGAGACGCCATCGCCACTGCGTTACAGGGCCCCACCCTCTTGCCACAGCTGCCGTTAGTAAAACTGACACACGGTAACCCGTCGCAACTACTCCTGGACGCCAATTTCAACTCCGGTCCACTAAAAAATGAACGCGGCGTTCGTCAGGGTGACCCACTTGGCCCGCTACTGTTCGCAGCGGGGATACACACCACACTCCGCGAAACTGCAGAGGCACACCCCGAGGTGCTTTGCTTAGCGTATGTGGATGACGTCACATTCCTGGGTGACACAGCACACACTGTAGCGGCATTCCAAGATTTCACCGACAAGCTGGCGCACCTGGGCCTTACGCACAATCCGCAGAAGTGCGCGTCTTGGAGCTCAACTGCAGTCGAGCAAGCTCAACTCCCACCTGGAGTGCCGTTCTGTAAAGACGGCGTGCGGCTCCTAGGTAGCTTCCTGGGGCTTGATAGTGGTGCGGCTAGGTTCCTGGCGGGTCAACTCGACGAGATGGCGAAGCCGTTATCCCTTATCGAGCGAGCCGACCCCCAAGTAGCAGCACTCCTCATCACGCGCTGTATCTCGAGACGCGTAGCTTACCTCACTGGGACGACACCTTTACGCCTTCTTTCCCGCGATAGATGGAGCCAGTGGGGAAGAGACCTCCTCACCGCTCTGCTCACATCGTGCGACATACGTGTCTCCACGTATAGAGCCGAGCAGGCGCGTGTCTGGGATCAAGCGTCGCTGCCGCCGTCACTAGGAGGCATAGGCATCACGAACCCCCTAATCGAAGGGATTTATGGATTCACGGAGAGTTTTTCCCAGGCGGCGTTGTTCCTCTCCTCTCTTGAACTAGATCCAGGGAACGCTTTGGCGCAGGCGCGGAATCACATGCTACTGCCGCGGGATGACAGCACACCGTTACACGCGTGGCTCACAGAGTGCGAGGCGGCCCTGCCTCTAGATGCACGAGAGATCCTGGAGAAGGAACGCCTCGTGAGGTCCGACGTTAGGCTTCAACACGTGCTCGGACTCAAGGTCCACGGAAGCAGATACGCCGTGCAGGTCCAGGCGACAAGGCGCATGCAGCTGATCCGCTCTCGGGTCACACGCAGCGGTTGTTCTCATTGACCGGTTACGGCACAGGCGACTGGCTCACCGCTATCCCCATTGCCCCCACGCGGCGGATAGGTCCAGTGCATTTCGCCAACGCAGTGCGTTTCCGCCTAGCCCTGCCGTTTTCAACCCCAAAGAACTGTGACTGCGCTAACCACACTGCTATCACTGACCCCCACCTCCCGAATCACCTTCTCTGCTGCGGCACAGGCAAACACCGCATCAACACCCACAACGAACTGCGGGATGCCTGCATTAGCATGGCGCAAGACGCGGGGTTTATAGTTCACAGTGAGTCGGCCGCATACTGTCCCGTCGAGGAGCAGACGGCCGACTTCACCATGACGGACAGAAGCAGCGCGGCGGTCTATATCTGCGATGTAACCATCACAGACCCCATCAGCACCAGGGATCCAAAGGCACAAAAGGGCAGGGGGTGGGCGGCTAGGGAACAAGCGAACAAAAAGATCAAGCACTATGCCAACCGACCGGAGACGGTTGCCCATGCGCGGAGGTACCCATCTTCCTCAAGCTCCTAGCGGACACAGCGGCTTGGCGACACTTCAACGCCGACTCCAAATCCTTCTATGCCGCCAAGTTCCTGAGAAACTGAACGAGAATGAATTGACTAAGGGAAAGTTGGGTACAAAATGCAAACCATAGAAAACTGTACCCCATATGTGCTACCCCAATATAGCCTACAGTAGCTATGTCATATAAATCTAACACACCCCCATAGGCAAAGTGGGGGAGAACAAGGGGTCACAAGACCAGTCAAGCAAAGCAAAGCAAGCTCAGGGTGGATCACAAAGTCACCACACATTCCGAGCACAAGTTCAAGGCCACAAGGCCAGTTCACATGCAGGATTACATATATATATAAGGCTAGACAAGCAAGAGCAGGTGTATATATATATGCAACAGTACAGACAAGGTCAAGGGGTGAGCAAGTGAGGCAAGGTATGCACAAGACCCAGCTGAGTACAGAAGCGCTGATGATCACAAGGCGCAAGTGCCTTGGTGAAGATATCAGCAGTGTTGGCCTGAGATGCCACGTACGCAAGCCGCAGCTGACCACGCTGCTGTAGCTCACGAGCAAGGAAGTAGCGGAGAGCAATGTGCTTCGTTCTGTGCTCCAGTCTCTGCTCTCGACACAAGGCCAGCATGGCCTTGTTGTCTACGTACAGCACTGGAGGAGAACGAGGCGGCTCTCCGAGGTCAGTCAGCAGGTAGGTGAGCCAGCGAAGCTCCTGTGCAGCCATGGCCCCGGCGTAGATCTCAGCCTCACAACTGGAGCTGAGAACAGAAGACGAGCGGGTAGCCCGCCACGAAACAGAGCCGGAACCAAGGCTGAAGGTGTAACCCTGTGACGACCGCTGCGTAGCCTGGTCGTCAGCCCAAGAAGCGTCTGCGTGCCCAGTGAGGACCACTGGACTCTGCCCTCCAAGCACAAGCCCCATGCCCGACGTACTGCACAAGTAACGCAACACCCTCTTCGCTGCAGCCATGTGCTCCGGTCTGTGTCTCCCAGGAGCAACATAGCGTGCGAGAATGCTAAGAGGGTATGCGAGGTCAGGTCGTGTGCAGGTCATCAGGTACATGAGGCAGCCAACAAGCTCTGGTACGGGCCACTCGACTCTACGGACTCATCCGAAGGCAGAGCTGAGAGCGAGTGGCGAGTAGGCAGAGGAGTGGCCTGAGGCGAGGAGTACGTGAAGCCGAAGCGCTGAAGGACCTGCTGCACCATGTGTGACTGAGTCAGGGTAATGGTGCGGCGTGCTCTGTCCCGGGTGATCTGCAAGCCAAGGTAGCTGCGCAGTTCACCCAGGTCTGTGCACGTGTGTCTCTTCTGCAGCTCGGACTTCACGTGGGCGAGTCCAGCAGTGTCAGCTGTGGCGAAGACCAAGTCGTCGACGTACACGAGGATGTAGAATGGCGGCAAAGAAGTGTCGGTGCGCAGAAACAGCGACGGGTCGGCAGTAGAGGGAGCAAACCCAAGAGCCGCAAGTGTAGTCCTCAGTGTGTCGTGCCACTCACGCGGTGCCTGGCGGAGACCGTAGACTGGCCGCCGGAGGCTCCACTGGGTGCCAGGAGGAAAAGACCCAGTGAAGCCAGGTGGGCGACGCAGCCAGATCTCCTCGTGCGGGCTGCCCTGCAAGAAAGCAGTGCTGAAGTCAAGAGAGTGCAGCTCGTAGTCGCGGTGAGCAGCTATGTGCAGCAGTACCCGAAGAGTGGTCATCTTCGGGGTGGGAGAGAAGGTCTGAAAGTAGTCAACTCCCTGCCGCTGACTGAAGCCACGAGCCACGTAACGCGCCTTGAAGACAGGCGGAGAACCCAGCGGTCGCTTCACCCTGAAAATCCACATGCCACTGACGATGTTCGCCCCAGGCGGGGGAACCTCGTCAACGTAGGTGCCTGTGGACTTCCAGGAAGCCATCTCTGTGTCCATAGCTGCCTGCCACTGAGAGGAGTAGGGAC